GGCGTGTTGGTGCAAGTTATATGGACGCGTTGTTATGCCAAGTTCGCACAACGTAAATGCTTTTCGTGCTTTCGTATCGGCTTTTCCCATTCATTGTATACGAGTAACGCACCTCCGATTAGCACGGTTGGCTGCGTACGGTGCGAAAAAAGTTCAACATACATACATGCGTCCGTCCATGCTTCCCTACCACCCGACAGCAAAACTTTTCGTTATTCTAATATAGTATGATAATAGCATTTACATTACTTGACACACGGCAAGAATGCAGAGCATCAACACTCTCGCTGTGCATGTCAACAGGTAGCTTCCCGCAAAGTTTATTTTGTGCAGTGGCGCAAAAAAACCCGCCAATAAATGAATTTTTGTATTCATAAAATACCGACGGAAAGTGTAGAGTATGTTTTTTTGTAAGGGAGACCTTGGATAAATTACTCGACCGATGACTCACCAACGGGAAAGCAAGCAGCAGCATGGTGCAATACAATTATCGTGGCAAATGCATTCAATTGGAAACATTTATTTGTTGTTGTTTTTCTATACATTTTAGATTCTCAAACGTCGCGATGCCTTCACGCGTGAGTGGGCGAGTAGCCGGCGCGCTGCTCATGTGCGCGGCTCTGTTCGCCCCCTGTTCACCGGCACCTCCTCCAGCCAGCCGTGCCTCCACCACCACCACCTCATCCATCCACTCCACGTCGTCTCCGCAGCTCCGTCCGCCGGGCCTACAACACCCCTCTCCCCATCGCCCACACGTCGTCTCTCAGGATGTCCGAGCTCGTAGGAGCCCATCAGTCGACCAGGTCACAAGGGGACAAGCTCGGCCGTCCGTCCACCCTGGTCGTCTCCGCGTCGCCCAACGCCACGCGCGGGTGATGCCGGTGAAACGCGTCCAGGAGAACATAGAAGACGAATACACTCCGCAGAACTTGGCGCGCTTGCAGGTGATTTTACAGGAGCTGGGCTTCTTCGACAGAGCGGGAGGCAAGACCCCGGCTCGGCCAGAGTCACGCGGAGTGAGGGGGGCAGCCCGCAACGTCATCCCTCCTGGGGTCCCCGCACCACGGGGAGGCTGGGTGCACAACGAGGGGGACGCTCACACAAAGCCCCACCACCATACGGTTCATACATAGGGACCCCCCTCCCCCATACTGTTAATGTTATTGCTATGGATTTATTTAAAACAAAATTACGTTTTGGGTGCATGAGTGTAACGTCTCTATAAAAATAACCCCTTCATACTCTTTGGTTTTTCGGTAAAGTCACGTAGGTAACATAAAATGAAAACAACTAAATTAAATCACGTTTCGGAGGCAACACAAGCTTCCGTCTTCAGGTGGAACAGTCACAGCAGAATAGCTGTATCCGTCTTCAGGTGGAACAGAAGACGGAAGCTTGTGTTGCCTCCGAAACGTGATTTAATTTAGTTGTTTTCATTTTATGTTACCTACGTGACTTTACCGAAAAACCAAAGAGTATGAATCTTTGCAGTCACGAAAGCTTCAAATCTAGAAATAAACCCTTCATGTTGATGGTCAATGCGTTAGGGTGCCGTAAGCACAATCATCAGAAATGCTAACAACACGTGAAAACGGATTCGGGTTTCGGGGCAGGGATGTGGCTAATGCCAGCGGCTGATGAGGTAATTGGTAATTATTAGGGGTAGAATTAGTCGTACTCGTGGCTGGTTTATTGTTTGGTTGAGGCTCGGCATATTTCTAATGGGTTCGATGGCGAATTGGTTAAAGTCATGGGTAGAGTTATTACGAGTGGCTGGTTGGTTTGTAGTGAGTGAGAGAGATAGTTGGTGAGGGCTAGATGCAGGGTTAAGATCAATGAGATGACTCGCAAAGTGACTGTTTGATTAGCTGGTGAGGGCTAGGGTTCGTCCGGTGGCTGATTGACTATAGTTGGTCCGTATTAGGAGTTAAGGTTCGTATTCGGTTGGCCAGTTTGCTGTGTGTGTTATCTTTCAGACTATAACATGATCAGATTCTGGCACATTTTAGTTTATGATACTTGCAGCGCAGTGACCAAACTGTAGGGTGCATGCTTGTTGTGATTTAAAACGCGACGTTTGTCAGTCAACCATGCTTTGTCGTGTGTAGTTCTTTAGGGTGGGCTTCGACACACATGGGCACGTACAACGATGACGTGTGCGAATGAGACGATGTTTACTCTTTGGTTCTTTCGGTAAAGTCACGTAGGTAATTTTTAAAAATATATAATTCACGACGTTTTGATCGCAACACAAGCGGTTTGTCCTCAGGCGGAAAAAAACCCATTCCTTTCCAGCTCAGACCCCGCTTGCTTGCCCATCGCCACATAAATAATAACCTCTTGTTGTAACAGCTGTTTCGCTGGTTCAGCAGTTTCACTGCTGGATTATTTTTTTTCCGCCTGAGGACGACCGCTTTGTGTTGCGATCGAAATGTCGTGATTTATTATTTAAAACAAATTCTACCTACGTGACTTTACCGAAAGAACCAACGAGTATGGATTCCTGCAGTCAGCACACGCATGCAGTGTGATCTCGGTGTATGTCTGCGCAGTCGGGACTGAGGTACAAATAAGGGGCCGTCCATAAATGACGTCACGCACCTGGGGGGGGGGTCAGACATTTGTGACGATGTGTGATGAGGGGGGGGGGGGGGTTGAGAAATGTGACGTCACATAAAAATGCATAACTTTAAATCAAAATATAGAATTGTTATAACAACACTCCTACAACATCAGAGTGCAGCGCCACATTAAATACGCACTACAATGACAATAGATTAAAGCGATTTGAAGCATGTTTTATTTTCAAAATGGAAATATTGTTTTGGGGGGGGAGGGGCAGAGCTTTGTGACGTCACATTTGAGGGGGGGGGGTCTGACTTTTTGTGATACGTCGTGTGACGAGGGAGGATGGGGGGGGTCAAAAATCGTCCAAAATCGCGTGACGTCATTTATGGACAGCTCCTTGTGCATTCCCCTCCCCCACTCTCCCCAACCCCCACATTCAATATCACCGAGTTCCACGTCAATCTCGAGCGGTTGCTCCGTGGGAATTGCAACTCCTTCCCTAACGAGCTGGTGTCTCGATCCATTGTTTGCGCGCGCAATTTTAATCGCATGCAGAGTGCTGTTTGTTAAAAGTAAGCTTCGTTTTTGTAATAAATAATTTTGGTTATACACACTCGCTCGTGTTGTCAATTCACTTGCGTCAAGTAAGACGAGTATTATGAACTATATCTGGTCATACTGCTGCTACGTTGGCAACGGTGGACCAGCAAAAATAACAACAAAATTCAACGCATTTCTAAATAACACGGACAATGGCCCTTCTTCATTGCGATGAAGAAGGCCCATTTCCTGAAACGTCACCTTTTATTTACGTTTTCATTTTAAGGCCACTGTTGTTGACGAATGTCTATGGGTTTTTTGTGTGTTGTGTTTGTGCAACACTCCCAACGCAGCACCGTGGGTGCCAGGGTGAGATGTTAACTACCTCGCCTGGTGTGCAGGAGGTCGTGAGGTTCAATCCGACCTTGACGATGCCTGCTGCTGCTGTATATTTGGGGTTTGCGACGTCTCTTTTTTTTACGATCAGAGGAAACAAGAAGATGCTCGGTGTAGTCGTCACTTTGCTTCGTTTATCATTTCGGGTTTTTTTTTAAATGCTTTGCTTGTACATAAAGCGGTGTCTCTTTGTCTCTCTCTCCCCGTGGTCGCGTGGATTTTTGTCTCCGGCTCCTGCGGTGTTTCCCCACCACATTTAGAATGAACATCACCACGCGTTTAGAGGATTTAGCCACTGCTATAAATGTCCACACGATGATGATGATAAAAAAATAAAAAATAAATGATGATAAACCGCTCCGTTGAGCTGTCATTTATGGGCAAGTAGCTTCTGAAAAGGAGTTACATAGCTCAGTGGGCCTATGGGGCCGTCCATAAATGACGTCACGCACCTAGGGGGAGGGGGGGTCAGACATTTGTGACGATGTGTGACGAGGGGGGGGGGGGTTGAGAAATGTGACGTCACATCAAAATGCGCAACTTTAAATAAATATAGACAACACGTTCTACTTAATTAAATAGACCTTTTAAATAAATGGCTTCTCCTATACAACATCAGAGTGCAGCGCCACATTAAATACGCACTACAATGACAATAGTTTAAAGCGATTTGAAGCATGTTCTATATTTTTTTTTGGGGGGGGCAGAGCTTTGTGACGTCACATTTGAGGGGGGGGGGTCTGACTTTTTGTGACGCCGTGACAAGGGGGGGGGTCAAAATGCGTCCAAAATCCCGTGACGTCATTTATGGACGGCCCCTTACCTGATGAGGTAAAATAAAAAAAATCACCAACTCACGTGATATATATGCCAATTGACACCCTGGGCACCCTTACGCACGACATATTTACTCATTATGAAGAGAAAATCGGGTCAAATATTTTAATTGATAAATTAAACAGAGACGGGGAGCCGACAGCACGGACGACTGCAGCAGGAGAACTTAGTTCACAGAAGAAGATGAACTTAGTTCACAGTTTATTTATTTTGCTATAACCCTGTGAGCCATTCGGCTCTTGAATCGGGTGCAACCGCAACAAACAAAAACATGAACAAGAAAACATCTTAAAGTGACTATGTATGACTGTGCAAACAGAAAATACAGGAAAAAAACATAAAAGTATTCCTGAAATAGCACCGTACACCAATGCTCTGTGCAAAAATCCCAGTGGGATGCAAGTCAAAATAACAACAACCACAACAACCACAAGACAACTTAGATTAAGGCCATCAGTCTAACTCCGTACTGGGGGGGAGGGGGCAACATCGAACGAGCGCGAAACTTTTCCTTCATGTTATTAATCGTTGACATCGCGGAAGCACAGCTTTGTCGACGTTCACACTTCATGAAGGACTTTATTACCCGAGGGGCGTTACGAGTGGCGACAGCTAACGCGTTAAAGTCACACACTGCACAGTCGGAGTAAGGGGAGGCGATGGGCCCAATGGGAGCACGCCTTACTACCACGCGCCCGGTGTGACCGCCCAATCAGAGCGCGCGTTCCTGGACCGTCGCCGAGGCAACGAGGAACGCCCGAGTTGCCTGGCAACCGGGGCAAGCCGGAGGCTTGGGGCGCTCACTTAGGCCTCGATCTGAGGAGCGCTCAAAACTCGTAGTCGTCGTCGTCAAGAACGCTGCTGCTGCTGTTGTTGTTGTTGCTCTTGCAGCGTCCTGTGATCGCCTGAGAGAAGTTGGGGGCAACGAAAAGAGCGGGCCGGCGGCGTTGACGCGCGGTGCAGGCGGAGGTACGAGGTGGTGGTGTGAGGGGGGGGGGGGGGTGATGGACGATTTGGGTTTGAAACGATCTAACCCACAACGTCTCTATGCAATCGTCGATTAATAAAGTTGTTCGTACTGCCCCGGGGCTGTGACCGAACACCACTGGGAAGCTACGAGGCTCGTCAGATCCAGGGAAGCTGAGCCGTGTTGAGTGTGGGTAGAGTGTAAATGTTGTGGATTTTCCTTCCAACACACCGGTTGTGATGTACTAGTAACGAATTGTCACGTTCTGTTTACGTGACAAACCTTACTGATTGGCTGTGTCGGGTGGTGGCGGGTTTAACGACGCCTTTATATTTAGGCAATCTAGCCCAAAACCACCTATATTATAAGCGTGGGTCGTGTTTGTATGGGCGACCGTCATGCATAACAGGTGTTGTTGGCTGCTGCGAAATTATGCGTGGTTGGTCAGCTGAGCAAAACCCATTGTAATTCTATTGTAGTTATATTCTCCGACGTCTATTCTGCTCTCCGTCTTCACAAACCCGCACTGACCAGCGCGGTGAAGTATGGTCAAGTAGCCCCCACAACGTGCACGGGGTGAGAGGCCCTCATCCAGCAGTGGACTGACCAAAAGGCTTTTAGCAGGATCATCAAAATAGTCTTGAGACCAACTGAGGCTTTGCTGGGTAGTATATAAAGTCTTAAATAAGCAAAGACAAACAAGTTGGTATTGTCTGTCTCACCTGTTGTCTCCTGGTTTGTACTTGGTGTACGCATGTCTGGCACTCTGCTGATAGGGACAATATTGTGAATCCACATGGACATGCGGATGAAGCATTCAGCATCTAACTCGTCCATACATACAGGCTTATACTGGGCTCTTATCGACCACACAATGTTTTGCTGATATGTGGAACAAAAATATTGCTAGATTTAAGGACAAATAATATGCTAAAGTAATCCTATAGTACCACAACATTATTGTAACCATTGCCATTGCTAACAAAGGCGTGTCTGAACAAGTTCAAGTTAATTTGAGTAGCCAAGTGAGAACTCGAGAGGGAGACCAGGCTCGTCTCATTTGTAAGTGTGACCTCAGTAATCCAAAAAAGTAAATATAACAATGAACCACATAAATCGGGCCAAAAAAACAGCACGAAAAATAACCACGTTATAAAGTACAATAATAAACAATATAACCCAATGTACGGTTTGAAATAAGAACATAAGGTGTTTAACTCTGCTAGGTACTCGACTACGTATGTTTATTAAAGTTGTGCTGACAAAACGTGTGGTGTTGTTACGCAGAATTTCTTTAAAACCCTTGTGTGTTATTTAATTATATTCAGTTTGCCTGGGCCGCACCAAATCAATGCCATGTATTCGCTGTTTCCTATGTGTGTGATAGAGGCGAGAGAGCCATACGAGGGCCATACGAGGGATGGAGAGACAAGGGTTTGTGGTGCTGCCCGGAAATAAGGAACCCGTTTCAGCGAAACTCAAAGCTCGGTGAGACTAAAGCTCGGTGAGACTAAAGCTCAGCCAGAGAGCCGTGGTTAGATGTGTGAATATCAATCAATCGCTGTACAAATAATACAGTTTGTAGTCTCAAATAAGAAAACTATGCTAATCTTGAGAAGCATTAATATTGAACTGTTGTGCAAGTAATACATTGATGAAAAGAGTAAATACACCGACAAGTACACAGACGTGGGTATTTAATGTTTACAGTATTGGCTTGTTAAGCAAGTTGTACAAGTAGGGGTGATTAGATTCCACACCGTGACTGGGGATTTTAATGAACGTTCGTGACTCGGGGACACATTTCAATTTAAGAATTGGCTGTGGTGAATGCAATGACCATCAGTGGTTGCAGGTAATCTTATGAACCCATTAGTACAATGGATTATGAATAATAATTGACCGAACTCTGTCTATCCACTCCTGAATGAAGGTCTCCCCATGCTATGTGAGTTTTGGGGCTTGTCCATAACCCGTGTTAATTAACCTTGTTGTGCACAGGGGCAGATGTCATCATGGGGTACTCGAGGCTAAAACACACAGCAGCTGTGGTGAGAATGATTGAGATGAGATATGATTAATGCAAATCTTTATCGGTACACGTGTAGGAATGTATGTTTTTTTTCCCGTGCGTACGTTCGCGCGTCTGCTGTGTGGAGCAGCAGCAGCGCGCAGGCTCTGCGCGGAGAGACCCTGCGGCTCGCCGTGGACAACACCGAGCTGGAGGAGCAGCTGGAGAAACTGCGGCGCGAGGGGCAGCGGCTGCGGGAAGAGAAGCGGTCGGTGCTGCGTCTCGGGCAGGGCTCTGTGTGTGGAAACCCAACCAATGCCTCATTACCATGGCCATTAGCAACTAGACTCGGTGTTTCATTGAAATGTTGCCCTATTTCAGGGGTGGCTTGTCCCGGTATATATCAGGTTTCCGAACAAAACCCCATGATTAAAATTTAGAATGTATCCCATTTACATCTTGCAAGGCGAAATAAATAAAACCACCAAAGAGAGACATCCACTGTTTCACTGCTATTCCCCAAACAAGTCTATTATGATTTGTCTAATACCTGTTATCTATTTATTTTGATTATGTGGGAGATGTGTGGTGGCTGGGTGGCTCAGAGTTCAGAGCACCTCCGGTTCACATGGTTGGCTACGTATGGTGCAAAAGAAGTTCAACATACATACAGAGCGTTGTTCTGGCACCAATTCCCAGCCACAGTTAACATTATTGGTGAGTAATCTATGAACTAGTCTTGGACCTCTCCGTTCCTATACGCACTATGGTCAATTGAACCCCCACGACCATCAACACGGTGTGGATGAGGCCTTCATCCAGCACCGGATTGACAAAGGACTGTGACAAAAAAAACCCCACTAGATTGAGATTATATGGCTATCACTCATTCCCCGTTCATTCAATACGTTCATCATCATTTACTGTCAACAGTGTCGGTTTCACCGAATTCACGCATCACAGATTTTCCCATTGCTTCCTCTCATCTATTTCACTCACCTCGTTTCCACCATTACATTCATATGTACCATTCCTAATTCTTTGTAAAACGCCTTGCTTAAGGCACTATATGAATCATGTTAAGATAAGATAAGCTTGTTCCGTGCATTGCCTTTCTCACATACTTGTACAGTGAGGGAAAAAAGTGTTTGATCCCCTGCTGATGTTGTACGTTTGCCCACTGACAAAGAATGATCAGTCTATAATTTTAATGGTAGGTTTATTTGAACAGTGAGAGACAGAATAACAACAAAATCCAGAAAAACGCATGTCAAAAATATTATAAATTGATTTGCATTTTAATGAGGGAAATAAGTATTTGACCCCCTCTCAATCAGAAAGATTTCTGGCTCCCAGGTTGTCTTTTATACAGGTAACTAGCTGAGATTAGGAGCACATTCTTAAAGGGAGTGCTCCTAATCTCAGCTTGTTACCTGTATAAAAGACACCTGTCCACAGAAGCAATCAATCAATCAGATTCCAAACTCTCCACCATGGCCAAGACCAAAGAGCTCTCCAAGGATGTCAGGGACAAGATTGTAGACCTACACAAGGCTGGAATGGGCTACAAGACCATTGCCAAGCAGCTTGGTGAGAAGGTGACAACAGTTGGTGCGATTATTCGCAAATGGTAGAAACACAAAAGAACTGTCAATCTCCCTCGGCCTGGGGCTCTATGCAAGATCTCACCTCGTGGAATTTCAATGATCATGAGAACGGTGATGAATCAGCCCAGAACTACACGGGAGGATCTTGTCAATGATCTCAAGGCAGCTGGGACTATAGTCACCAAGAAAACAATTGGTAACACACTACGCCGTGAAGGACTGAAATTCTGCAGCGCCCGCAAGGTCCCCCTGCTCAAGAAAGCACATATACATGGCCGTCTGAAGTTTGCCAATGAACATCTGAATGATTCAGAGGACAACTGGGTGAAAGTGTTGTGGTCAGATGAGACCAAAATGGAGCTCTTTGGCATCAACTCAACTCGCCGTGTTTGGAGGAGGAATGCTGCCTATGACCCCAAGAACACCATCCCCACCATCAAACATGGAGGTGGAAACATTATGCTTTGTGGGTGTTTTTCTGCTAAGGGGACAGGACAACTTCACCGCATCAAAGGGACGATGGACGGGGCCATGTACCGTCAAATATTGGATGAGAACCTCCTTCCCTCAGCCAGGGCATTGAAAATGGGTCGTGGATGGGTATTCCAGCATGACAATGACCAAAAACACACGGCCCAGGCAACAAAGGAGTGGCTCAAGAAGAAGCACATTAAGGTCCTGGAGTGGCCTAGCCAGTCTCCAGACCTTAATCCCATAGAAAATCTGTGGAGGGAGCTGAAGGTTCAAGTTACCAAACGTCAGCCTCGAAACCTTAATGACTTGGAGAAGATCTGCAAAGAGGAGTGGGACAAAATCCCTCCTGAGATGTGTGCAAACCTGGTGGCCAACTACAAGAAACGTCTGACCTCTGTGATTGCCAACAAGGGTTTTGCCACCAAGTACTAAGTCATGTTTTACAGAGGGATCAAATACTTACTTCCCTCATTGAAATGCAAATCAATTTAGAACATTTTTGACATGCGTTTCTCTGGATTTTGTTGTTGTTATTCTTTCTGTCACTGTTCAAATAAACCTACCATTATATTTATAGACTGATCATTTCTTTGTCAGTGGGCAAACGTACAAAATCAGCAGGGGATCAAATACTTTTTTCCCTCACTGTATATGTTTGGTCTCGCAGGCAGGCGGGAGGGTTTCACTGGAAGACTGGGAAAACAGGAGCCCTGACTCTGCCTTCCAATGCCGTGCCAAGGCAGGGCAGCAAGGTGAGCTTGTGTGTATTTGTGCGAGCCAACGCAGTCCTGTGCAAGAAATATTCGGTCGCTTCATATACGTTTCACAAAGTGAGCTTGGAAGCACGGAGAGATGCGTGCTTGGAATTTCAATGAAAGACAGATTGAGGAACACATGGACGTGATAAAATACACAAGTTAGAGACGTCATATTAACTGCTAAGAAATGTGAGTGGGCTTAGGCAGTGAGCGTTGATTGAAAGGATTATGGCCGATGCAGTAGCGTACAAAAGGATTACATACTCTTTGTTTTTTTCGGTAAAGTCACGTAGGTAAAAAATACAATGAAAATAAATGAAAAAGATTTTTTTTCATGTTTTTTTTTAACCTACGTGACTTTACCGAAAAAAACAAAGAGTATGAATCCTTGCAGTCACGAAAGCTTCAAATCAAGAAGAATTACACTTGAGAGGACCTCTTCCGTGGAGATTGAGTGATAACATCAGCTTGTGTGTAGGAGTTGGATGGATGTTGCATTCCGTGGTGTGAGATGGCAACGGCTTGACGAGGCCTTCGTCATGGTGTGCATGGGCATGCAGTCAGCGTTTGTCTCTTTTAATCAGCAAATCTCACCTATAGGTTTGAACCGAGAGAGAAAAACATTTTTTTTGTGCCAGCAAAGCCTGCATCCATTGTAGCGGTGGGTGGCTGGAGTGTAAATAAATTGATTCTGAGCAGTAAAGCAAACTCGGGGACAGGTGTCAAATTCCTCAACTGAGTCTGACCAGGGAGAGAGGGTGGGAAGCATAACTTTGTGTACACTACTCACGCTACTCAGCTGCATACACTTTTAAAAATGTCACTATTGTGTACAGTGCAGTGTGGACTCCGTTTCACGTTGCGGTTTGATTACTTTTGTTTGTCTTAAGGTGTGCTGTGCTTGTCGCTGTGGTTTCAGGTGGGCTCTGGCAAAGTGAGAATCAGGGTTCTGAAGGAGCAAGTCGAAGGCAAGTTTGATTCGCCCCTCGTAACCCATAGCATCATCTGCTCTATTTGCGCTCTCGCAGTTTAATGTGTTTAGAATGAATAGGCCTGCAACAATTTGCCTGCCCGCCCCTTGTGATTCACGATTGTCATGAGTTCAAGTAGCGATTCGATTTAAGAATCGATGTTTTATTTTGCCTCGTGGCGCAATGGAGTGCCGATAGTGACTGCTGGGTGGAGGGGTGGTGCTATGGTTAGCACATTGCACCTCCGATTAGCACGGTTGGCTATGTACGGCGCAGTTCAACACAAATACATACATACATTGCGTTATGAACTGAGACCCTGAGTTCAATGTCTGGCCATGGCAGACACTAGTCACGAGTGATACTTAAATCAGTGCTGGACACCCATTTAACTCACCCGCTCTGATCAGCGCGTGAAGTACGGTCAAACAACCCCCATAACCAAAAGGCATGGGTGGCCTTCATCGAGCAGTGGATTGACAAGGGGCCGTCATTTTTTATTACTTCCAGTATGAGTCGAAAATAATTGATTCTTACATGTACGATTCTGTGCATGTACGATTCTGTGCATGTGTTTTGAAGGTAAGAATCGATGTATCGTTACACCCTTAGATGTGAATCATAATTATGATTATAATCACACACTGATTTGCATGCTGCGCCAGGATTATTGTCATCTTGGTGCGGTATTTATTCCTGTGAAGATTCACCATTTTTATTAAACCTGTAAATAGGCTGCCCATAAACATTATTTGTAAAGCAAAGCGTATCATAACAAAGGTAGTTTATCATAGCAGCTTCTCATCAGTACGTGTGTGTGTGTGATCATGTTTAAAGGGTACGTGCTTTATCTTGTACTTGATGCCTTTTTATTTGCAGAAGTCAAGAAGGCCATCCCAGTGTCTTCCCCTCAAACCAAGTGGGTGACAGAAGCGAAAAGAGCAAAGAAATGTGGCCAGTGTGAAAACAAACCCGCCCTGCTGGTAAGAGGTTCAAATTTCAGTAAGCGCATCAAAGTGAGTGTTGAACTGCAGAGTGGATCAAAGTGATAAAAACGTGTCCGTTTACCAAACTGGAATTGTAATAAAGAGTGTCTGGACAGTGCACTCTTCCTGCAATGTTTAGATACGACTGACTGTCTCTTGTTTACCAAACTAGAATTGGCTTTGGGAGATATAATAAAAACTCTTAACGGTAGATTGATAATGTTCCAATGAATCTATCATGGGGTTTCTTAAAATATAAATACATGCTTTCTTCAGCACATCCCTTTCATGCCCTTTCAGCTTAACTTTGTCAGGTGGTAAGTCCGAATGACTCTGTCCTGGTTAGCGCACGGCGCTATGACCTGAGTTAGAGTCCCGGTCACGGCTAAACGGCGGTGGCGAGTGACATCTGATACCAGACCTGGGCTTGACTCCTTCACATACCCGCACCAACTGGCGCGGTGAAGTATAGCCAAACAACCTCCATGACCTCCACAGCTTGGTTGAGGAGGCCTTCGTTCAGCAGTAGATAAAAAAAGGGCTGTACATTGTGTGTGTGCGTGCGCGCGAGCCAGGTGTGTGTGGAGTGCGGCGAGGATTTCTGCGTGCCCTGCTTCAGCAGGATGCACCACAAGGGTGCGCTGCGGTCACACCGATCGCATCCCATCCAGGTAAGATAAAATCATTATTGGGAGGTGATCGCGCCGTTCTAACAGAACAAGGCTATCACGAAGGCGCGCTATGTTTCCACAGACATTGGTCTTCAGTAGTTTCACAGTAGGGGGCGATGTTCCCACGTGTAATACCATTTGAGTAATGTGTAGGTAATTGTTTTCATTTGGATCGTGACGCCGGCACACAATGACCTCCTCTTTTCGAATTGCGTTACGGGATATTTAACATCCATTGTGAAGCAAGCGGTGTGTATTTTATGGTTAAATTCCTTAACTAGGGTGGCCTCCGAATTCGAACTGTGAACCGCTGCAACCAGTGGCCAATACGCTACAGTTGATGCTCTCAGCGTGGTGAGCAAAAATCAGATTCAATTTTGTTCTACACTTAATTTGGCTTTGAGTTTTAATATTAATCGCTTACATGTCCTGCTATGAACATTACTCTCGCATGATTCTTGGTGGTCGAACATTACTGACATTGTGTGGACCAGTGGTTACATGAAGGGATCTCAGAGGTAGCTCCATAAGACGTGAAGGGGGATACACGCTGCTCTGTAAGACATCCTAACGGTTATTTCGGCTCGTGACATGACGCCGATGGCACAATCGGGATAAAACGGGTGCAAAATAATTGTAAAAAATGTCTTTAACATTTACAATCTCATCACGGGATGCTCCAATGCCAGCAGTCGGAAACGGTGACTCTTACGTTGACGCCGGACGTTGTCCAACGCTTCAAGCGAGACATGGGCTCGGCAGCCGATGGACGGGACGTTAGGGAACGTGGCTTCCCCAAGTTCTCCAACACGGTGAGTTGCACTGCTCTGCGAGTTGTCAGTGTATTTATTTACAGTGGTACCTCGGAGATCGAACGCCCCAGAACTCGAACAATTCGGTGATGGAACAAAATTTTCGACCATTTTTTTGCCCCGGACATCGAACAAAAAATTCGGAGGTCGAACAACTGCGAAGAACCGGTTTGGGCCGAGACGCGTAGCCAGGGCGACCGAGACAAAGGCGGATGACCCAGTTTACGCGTAGCTCTCGTCCTTTATCACTGTAGGGTTCCTGCCCCCCAATACGACTCCTCTCATCCAGCCCATGGACCAACAGGTAATTTCCAACTTTAAAAAAACTTTACACGAAAGCCCTTTTTCAAAGGTGGCAAAATGGGTTGAGTTATACAATTTTGTAGAAAAATATCATCCAGATAAGGCAGTAGCCAGCAGAGCAGGCGATTTTTTATAAAGATAATGCATTGGGTCATTTCAGAAACATCTTAAAACGGAGGCAGAAACAATCCTCTCTTGATCAGTTTTTAGTTAAAAGGCCCTCAAGTGAATCACAGTTAGTGCTCGAAAAAAGGCAAAGAAAAGAAAGAACCCCAGAAGGGCAGTTACCCAACGTGTTTATGGAGGGGGACTCCCCTTCCAAGCAACACTGACACCTCCTCCTCCCCTCCTCACCACCTTCCACTCAAGCCATCCACTCTCGTTACTACAGGTAAAGTGAAGTTCATTGTTCATTTATTCTATTAATTATAACTGTGTTTCTTGTTTTTTGTATGCTTTTATGTACTGTACTGTATTTTAATATTGTAAACTTTTTGTAAAAATGGCCCATAATCCTTGGGTGGGGAACCAATTAATGCTATTTCCATTCATTCTTATGGGGAAAATTGATTCGGTGTTCGAACAATTTGGTGTTCGAACACGGTTTTGGAACGAATTAAGTTCGATCTCCGAGGTACCACTGTACTTACTTTTGTTCACGTGGAGTAGGGCCCCCATTGAACTAGGTAATAGGGAGAATACAGAAACATTGAGAGCATTGACAAGATAAGGGCAAACTATTTGAAAAGGTAAATCTGCCACCGCAGCAGCAGCACCTTCTTCCCAAGAAACAGCTGTTCAGATAGTACTGAACAGAGAATCAAAATACATGAAGTTGTAGCACCTTAAAACTGAATGCAGCTGCGAAAACAATCAATATGTAGTAAAACAAATGCAAGATTGCCAATAGATAGTTACGCAATTTGTAGCGTAACTTTAGCTATTACATTAATGTTATCTGAGAGATCTGAATGCATACTTTGTTTCAGACCATGATGTCCATAGCAAAATTGGAATAACAGGGGAGGGGAATCATGGTTTGTGATTAGCGATGCCATCTCCTCACCAATTAACTGATTTAAGACAGATTGTATTGTGATTTAGACTTTAGTAGCGACAATAATGACACGTGTTTTATTTATAATCCAGACGCCGCCGTTATCTAACACAAGAGCACAAGATACCGGTGTTGGCTTCACTTCACCCTCGCCGCCATCAACAGAAGTGTCGGAAAGGAGGAAACTAGACGGTCGAGCGCCAGGATTCGGCCAACGTGGGTTAGAAGAGGGAGCCAAGAGCGGGCAAACCATAGGCCCCATAGAAGCGGAAGCCACACAAGGAGGAAGAAGAGGAGGACAAATTGCTGGAGTAAGGAAGCCAGGAGGGAAAGAAACGCGAGGCGCCTCCGGGCCAGGTGAAGTGTCGTCACGGCGGGGAGATGGAGGGACGGGAGGCGGCAGGGGCACTCTTCTGGAGGGGGACTTCAGCGAGGAGGAGTCGTCGCGCGCATTCCAGGAGGCCGTGGCGGCGTGGCGTGGTGCCGCAGGCCCCTGCTCGCCAGGCCCCGAGCGGACAACACGAGGCTCCGTGTCAGGTGAGGCAACTGCCGCCATCCGTCGCTCATTAAATGCCGATGTCACATTCACAGTGATAGCGCAAGAGAGCGTACTGCACGTATACGTCTCATACTGGCTGACCATACCGATTCAAGTGGTAGGCTGACGATTTTTCAACACTTTTATACTGCATATTGAGATTCAAAGCTGATGATAGGGCTTCATAACTTATTGAATACATTTCAAAAAAATGTTGCTTTGAAAATGGTCATGTGGTAAAACGGTTTATGTATTGGCAGCCTATCGCTTACATCATTAGGGTTTGCAAGTATAAACACGTAGCCCTGATTTGTCAATTCACTGCTGGATGAGGGCTTCCCCCACGGCCGTGTGGGTCGTGGGGGTTATTTTATCTTTGCTTCACCATACCCACTCCCAGTGTCGGTGGAGGCTCGAGAGGAAATCCCCATCCCAGGCAAGGCCCTGCTGAGCCTGAATTTCCCGGAGAACTCTGCCCTCTCGTACATGGACCGTCTGCTCCTCAAGAAGCACAGACGGTAATTTCCCATGGAGCTCATCGGACGAACCATGAGCATTTAATCCTCGCGTCCAGGTGACTGAGTGGGTTCAACTCACACAACCGGAATCTCGAGAGGAAAATCCGCAGAACGTTACCTAGAACACACACGCGCGCGCTGTAAATATGACAATAACATGCGCCGTATACATAACACAGTTTGAGTTTACAATCTTATGACATCTCAACACGCTCTACATGAAAAGGTGGCCGAGTGGTTCAAACGTCAGAGCACTGAGTCAACACTGCTGAGATCCAGAGATCGAATCGCAAACTTCACTACGCTGGTCAGTGCGGATTGGGGAAGAGGGCAGCAATAGCTGGTTTAGATGTCACTTGCGACTCATGTTCCCATGGTCAGGAATCAAACTCGGGTTATAGTGTAGCGTGATAACCACTGGGCCACCCACCACTCTACTTCGCATTGTTGTTGTTGTTGGTGTCATTTATTTTTGTGTTGTTTATTTGCATTTTATTGATAAGCAGGACGCCGATCGAGGGACTAGGAGGGGAAGCAGCGGAGTGGAGGATGCAAGAGAGACGCTCTGTCCAGTTTGACCACGGAGATGAAAACGGTACAACCGAAATGCCCTATGCGAGCCAGCTTCAATGTGATCACGTGGCTCTTACATACATTGACAGTAGCCCAGCAATGGCAAGTTGGTTTCGTCCTTCTAGCTCTGTGCATGGGTACATGCATCGCCCTTTTGTTGATTCACTACTGGATGAAGGCCTCTCCACACGGTGCGGATTGTAGGGGTTATTTAACCATAGTTCACGCTGGCCAGTGCGGGTTGAAGGTGGGAAGCATAGATTCTGGAGCATGTAAGTATGGTGCAGCAATGGATTTTGCTGCAACTTAGCCTCACAACACCTGTTACGCACGGTGGTCGCCTATCAAAACAGTGTCCAGGCTCAATACTGCTTAGCTTCTGAGATCTAATTATATCGGGAGCTTTCAGGGTATTTTGGTCAAAGACGTTATCATAATAACTGACAAGAACCTTTTCATGCAGTCCGCAGGTAAAAAATAAGAGACAGAATTATTCAAATTGATGAATGATAAACGATTCTGCGATTGTATTTAACTTCCCCGTCTTTTTACGCAGCGTCAGGAAATCTTGAAGAACGCAAATATTACGTGGAGATTTTTGCCGCGCCGCAGGCCTCCATTCGGGAACCCAGGCCCGAGTCATCTCTCACCATTGTAGAGATGGCAGAGGTAAAGGCGAGATCGTACGTTCGGGTCACGCCTGTACTGTAGAACCCCTCTTGACGACCACCCCTGTTAACGACAGGGCCTCCATAGGGCCCAATGTGAAGTGTATAGCAGTGTAGTGTATAGTAGTGTAATGTATAGTAGTGTATTGTGTAGTGTATAGTAGTGTAGTAGTGTAGTGTATAGTAGTATAGTGTATTAAAGTGTATAGTAGTGTAGTGTATTAAAGTTTATAGTAGTGTAGTGTATAGTATATAGTGTAGTGTATCATAGTGTAGTGTATAGTAGTGTAATGTATAGTAGTGTATTGTGTAGTGTATAGTAGTGTAGTGTATTGTAGTGTATTGTGTAGTGTATAGTAGTGTAGTAGTGTAATGTATAGTAGTATAGTGTATTAAAGTGTATAGTAGTGTATTAAAGTTTATAGTAGTGTAGTGTATAGTATATAGTGTAGTGTATCATAGTGTAGTGTATAGTAATGTAGTGTATAGTAGTGTATTGTGTAGTGTATAGTAGTGTAGTAGTGTAATTTATAGTAGTGTAGTGTGTTAAAGTGTATAATAGTGTAGTATATTAAAGTTTATAGTAGTGTAGTGTATAGTAGTGTATTGTGTAGTGTATAGTAGTGTAGTAGTGTAATGTATAGTAGTGTAGTGTATTAAAGTGTATAGTAGTGTAATGTATTAAAGTTTATAGTAGTGTAGTGTATAGTATATAGTGTAGTGTATCATAGTGTAGTGTATAGTAGTGTATTGTGTAGTGTATAATGTAGTGTATTAAAGTTTATAGTAGTGTAGTGTATAGTAGTGTATAGTAGAACCCCTATTAACGACCACCCCTGTTAACAACTAATCACTTAATGACGGGGCCTACGTAGAGCCCAATGTGTTTGCTTACCGACCATTCCCTTGTTAACGACGGGCTGTTGTAGGTACAGTAAATATTAATTAATGCATTGATTAACCGTGTTTATTTTAATATTATGTGTTTATAATATTGTTAGTATCTTTATGTATTAATATCCATTGTTTAAAGATGATAAAGTACGTTTTTTGGGTGAAAAAAGTTAACATACGATGCTATCACAACAAATTAAGCCTTTAACGTGTATTTCCTATACTTGCTCGACGACCAAATCACTTAACGACCGTTTTCTTGGGCCCAATTACCGTCGTTAACAGGGGTTTTGCTGTACTGTGCAATCATAATTTGGCATTTGACCCATTCTTAAAGCACAGGGCCATCACGGGGACATGATGTTTCGCAGTCACCGTCTGGGGAAGCGTCACAGTCGGGGCGATGTTGCCGTCGTGTGAAATCCAAAGTTTGAGTCATTTTCAGGATTATTATCATTTTAAATTGGGCAAAGTTGGACCGTGCAGAGGGCGCAAAACGTCGCGGGATCTTTTCACGTCCGCCGTGAAGCAGACGGCACTTATTTTACGGTTAGTGCCCCGGCAATAAGGCGCGGACTGCTGCACAAGCAGCGCACACGCTACCGCTGGGCCATGTATGCTTTACGTTTAAAATATCATATGTCCTGGTTTGACTGGGGCGAACCTGGTCTCAGAAAGGCTTCAAATCCAACGGCCCGTAAACAATGAGGTTGAGGTGAAAATGGTCAGAATGCAACGTTGGGTTCGGCAACGTTTTCGGCTTTGCTACGTCTTGCACTCACTGCAGGGAGAGAACTTTCTGGAGGAGACAGAGGGGTTTGTTCTTGAGGAGGATGGCTCACCCGTGAACATCAGCTACAGGTGAGATTGGCCTGCAGTGCGCGTTCATGTTAACCTGTACTTGCAACCACAAACTATACGCTGTTTGGACAAAAGCCGTCCCAAGCCAACACCGTCCCCCTCAGCCTTGCGATGCTACAATCCACCTAGCGCCTGCACATGAGTTAATTTCATTGATCGATCCCTGGGGTGGACATCCTCTTGGGCGTGTTCCCTTTAGCTGCCATATCATTGTTAGTCTGGACCACCAACCATCATCTCTTCGAGTAAAGCGGCCTGCTCCAGACCGCTTATCTTAACAGTCAAATGTTTATATTCTTAGCTCTTTCGGTAAATTTACATTGAAGGGAAACAATAAAATAATAAAAAAAATATATAAAACAATAAAAATTCTCACGACGTTTCGACCATAACACAAACGGTCGTCATCAGGTGTGTTGGTTTGCATTAATTTATTTAATTTAAAACGGTTTATTTATTTATAAAAAATGTCAGCGCCACGCGCAGCGATTTGGCAGTTTATTTAGAAGGACTAGTCCATCTATGTTCTGAAAAGAGGAGGGGGGAGACGAAAAATTAATGTATGCTGTCTGAAAGCTACCGTAAGCGTGAACAATCAATTAAGACCTGAAATGGTTTATCAAATCCTTCCAATGATTGCTAAGCCAGAATCCATCTTCTCGGTTGAAATTGTCTCTGTGCTTGTATATGTGGATAGCCTCATGAACGAATCTCTCATGGTAGCCAGATGGCTTACAAAGAACCTCTGTCTTGGAAAAGTCAATGTCGTGTGAGCCTACTGAATTATAACAGTGATCTGCCACGGCCGAGGTGTTGGTCCTACCGTGTTTAAGGTCTGCTTTGTGTTCACGAATGCGGTCCGAGACATGGCGTTTGGTTTCTCCAATGTAACTACTACCACAGAGGCAACTTAGTTTGTAGACACCAGGGTACTGTATGTCCGGAATCACATCTTTTACAGACGGAACCCGATCACGGATTTTATGTAATGTGTTGAAACGGACCTGGATCTTGTGTTTATTCAAGATTTTGGAGATCTTTTTTGTGATCCCCGCAATGTAGGGTAAAGTGATGGTTTTATAAATAAATAAGCACACCGAAAATAATAATTAATTAATGCGGACCAACACTTCTTTCAAATGTTTCTTGCCGTTGTTTTTTTCACACCTGATGACGACCGTTTGTGTTATGGTCGAAACGTCGTGAGAATTTGTATTGTTTTATATATTTTATTATTTTATTGTTTCCCTTCAACGTGACTTTACCGAAAGAGCTAAGAATATGAATTACTGCAGTCACGAAAGTTTTAAATCAAAAGTCAAATGTTTCTTAACAGTTAAATTTTACGTCTTTAACCTGCGTTATTTTCTCCAATCTGTTTGTTGCTTTTGCCGTTTCTCAATGTAATTCCAATAACACATTCAGTAAAATAATTACAGCCAATGTTATGACAACCACTTCTTGTAATGGTAGTTAAAGAGACACGATTTGAGCTGACTCTCAATCGTGCAAACTATGACCATGAGCCTTGGGTTGGTTCCCTTACAGCGATGAAGTAGAACCCAGATATCTTGCCCAGCACTCTCCGCTGCTGGATGGTGGCCGCGAGGTATCTGCAAGAACTCCTCGGCAACAGGCACCAAAACCAGTAACACCATCTCCGCGTGGTGACCTCGATACATCAGAGAGGGGCCTCACCACTGAGCCATCAGAGGCAAGTTGGTAATGATTTGGTTAATGAAAAGACTCGCACATAATACCTGATGTTGTAACTACCTTTATCGCTGATCAAATACAGAAAATTAACTTCACACAATCAAAATTTAGAGGTGGCTGGGTGGCGCAGAGGTCAGAATGCTGAACCGGCACCGCTGAGAAATGTAATGGCATATATTTGTTTGCAGGATTTGAAGAATGTTGGGAGCCGCATCAAATTGGAGCTGCCAGACTATCAGGGCCTGCAGGGGTTTTTCTCCATCGGTCTCAGCGCCGGTGGAGAGCACAGTGGCTCAAGGCATGGACAGAACGGGACAGATCTTAACGGCAGCCGTCCGACCTGTGGTACCATCTCGGCGCGTACGAATGCAGACGCCGCCCGAACGGCGAGTGCCAGTGGAGCGGCGTTAAGTCTGCTGTCAGGTACCGGCTCTCAGCGGTGGAGGGTTGCATAGTGAAGAGCATTAACTCCGCTAATATTTATAATCTAGAAAGTGTAAGCTGTGAAATATTTCTTTAGCGCTATCACGTGACAAACAAAATAACCTACACACGCAATGTGGCCGGAAGCGGGTCGCGTCTGACGCTGGCGTACTGTGCTGCCTGCAGGCCGGCACGGAGACTCGCGATGGCGCGCGGACAACAGCCTGGGCCTCTGTGCCGACGCCGAGCTAACGAAGGCCGTGCTGGAGGAGAGCAGATCGCACAGGCAGATGGGCGGCAGCGCGTACAGGCCACGCTCGCCGGCCACTCGGCTCGCTGCACACAGAGACGCGGCGCGATCTGCCGGTCAGGGTTCGCACAGGGGTCACAGGCGTTGGATAGGGGTCGGTGGTGGACAAGGGCGGTATTGTTTTTAGTGGGTGATTTTGCAATGAGAAACACGTTATCAACACTCGCCACAGCCCAAAATGTTTTTATTTTAGTTTTATGCAGCATTTTGTCAATGTTTTCTGGAAATTACGAATATTGAGTTAAAGGCAACACATGTAAAGATCGCGTGCATACATTACATGTAAGTGCACAGCCCTTTTGTCGAACCACGAGTGGATGAAGGCTTCTCTTGTACGTCCTGTTGTGCACAGCAGTTGCCCATCCAAGCACTATTCAGGCTTTAACTTTGTTTTTTTGGAGTCTCATGGGAGCGGTCGCATTCGGGGTAACTTGATTATTGCCACTATCAAAAGAAAAGGTTTTACCCCTTTCTGGTAATAAAACAGGTGTTAAGATGTTAAAACACCAAACATAAATCTTTTGCAAGGAATCGTGTATGCATTAATGGCATATACCTGTGGTGAACATGCAAACAAACAAAACACGCTCTGGTATTATATCATTCATTGTCTTTGAAACTGATTGGTCCACACCAGAGACAGCTTTCTTTAGAGCCTCGTCTCAAACAGTGTTAGACCAGAGGATGCCAAAAGGCCAAAAGGCGTCCTCTGGTCTAATGCAGACACGATTCCTTGTAAGAGGTTTCTGTTTGGTGTTTTAACATCTCAACACCTCCTGTTTTATTTCCAGAAAGGGTAAAACCTATTCTTATGTTTTGATTATAGCCATTTACGAGTTATATTATAGAAATTATGTTTGGTAAATTATGAATCTTGAGTTACGGAGAACATATGTCAATTGCTCGTAAACTTTATCTCTATTGATGTCCCACTTCATCTTTTCTCCAGCCTCTGCCACCGCCCGCCCGTCATCATCCCCCTCGTCGTCACGGTCCACGTCCTCTCCGCTCACGCCGCTGTCCCTTCGGCCGACGAGGTCAGGAGGTCCGGGCAGAGGAGTGCGGATGAGCGGCGCCTTGGACGTGGAGTCGAACCGGGACTCGGATGAGGACGAGGAGCGCATCGTGGGCAGCCTGGAGAGAGAGCTGGCCCTGGGTACACAGCATCTCACCGCCACCAAACATTAATTTATATGCATACATTAAATTAATTTATATGCACACATTAAATTCATTTATATGCATACATTAACCCCCCCCCCCCCGCCTTCGCACCTAATTGGCTCACAAGTGACGACATCACATTTATCCCTCTATTTAAGAATGAAAGAGGAGGAGGATTTCTCCACTAATCTGTCTACCGTCTGATGATGCTGGCGAAACGTACACGAATTGTAAATGTTGTGAGTTTACTCTCCAATGCACCGGTGTGCTGTACTAGTAATGAATTGCCATGTTTTGTTTACGTGACAAAACTTACTAATTGGCTGTGTCGGGTGGTGGCGGGGTTAACGACACATTTATATTTACACTATCTAACCCAAAAAAACCTCTTATTCTTAAACACAGATAGAGTTGGACACCAGGATGGTGTGTATGCTGAGGGTGAGAGGTTTGTGATCGAGCTAGGAAATTAGTTGTAATGCTAATAATGCCATTTAATTATCATCAGGTCTCAGAAGATAAGCAAATTTGAGCCTGGATAGTGCTTGGATGGGTGACCACAATCCATAGAGATATGTTGTAAGTAGTACAAGAAAGTGCGGCAAAAGCCGTTGTTGTACTCTGCTTCTGTGCTTTCCACCTTCATGAAATCACACGAACCAGCAGTGGTAAAGTGTAGTCAAATATACCCCTGACCCACACGCTGTGGGGATGCCCTAACCTAGCGGTGGATAGACAAAGGGCTGTACATCTATATGTTAGCAAGGGGAACGCCACATATACCAAACATGAGACAATTGCGTGATCTCAACACTAAATCCCTCATGCACGAACCCAGCTCAGATGTTCATGAAAAGCAGTCACTTTTAGTTTTACGCCAGTTTTAGTAACTTGCACTTCGTACGCGCCAGTGGAGCAGTTGTGAAAACCTGGAATAGATCGGCCTGCTTGCAGACCGCAGTTGCAATATTAATCTGATGTAGTATTTTGTTCGTGCACTGCAAAGTGAATCCACAATTTGAGCTCTGCCCAAACAGCGGACAAAACCAGAATTTCTATGCGAGGGGTAAGATAATAGAGTGCAGAGGGAGGCAGCGACGAGAGGCCATGTGGCCAGATTAATTTACCGTCAGCTGTGGTTACGCAACTCCTTGCACAAGAATTTCCGTGAATAGATCTCTGTTCCTGCAGCGTTCATTGTGACGGTGAAATTGTAGCTGATCCCCGAGCTCTTTAAGAACGAATCCCTGCCTCAGTGAGTTTAGTGTTTGGCACAATCACACTTGTGTGTTTGGGCTCTTGCTGTCATTTATAACGATGCTGTTGATTCATGGCCTGTGAGTGCACAGCCGGGCGAGGGGTTCTCGATGCCATGCCGGTCATTTGGGTTATTTGACCATACTTCACCGCGTTGGTCATTGCGGGTTGGTGAAGGCGGGGGGAGCAGTGCCATATGCTGCCGACCATGTAGTTCCACAACAGCCAATAACAACCTGTTATACATTGTGGTCACCCATCCAAGTGCTGTCCCGGTTCAAACCTGATGAGCTTCCGAGATCTGATGTCGGGCGCAGGCTCGGTAATGTCCTACACCGTCATGAAGCTTCAGCACACTTTCCTGTTATCTGCAGAATAAAACTGTTGGCTTCGTCACCTTTTTTTAACTCCTATTGCATCATTTATGACTGGAGTTCTATTAGTTTATTCTTCTGTTTTGTGGCATTTTAAATGCAATAAGCTGAGTTTATAGCTCTGTTGAGTTGTCTGGGGTCTCCATGTGGATTCCAGTCGTACCCCCTGCAAAAGCGCGTGTGGGGCAATGATCAGGGTGGTGTGATGGATTTCACTTCACCGCAGTTTCAATTAAACTCGCATAGACTTGCACAGAGACGCATACACTCGCAGAGGCATCCAAAGGCTTGCATAGAGATCCAAGCTATGCAGCACAATGTGATTTCAGACTGAGATTGCACTCTGCCGCAGTCACAACCAGGCTGAGCACTCCTGAAGACCCCACGTATGGAGGTGGTGTTCATACCTCTCACGTGTAGTTCTCGCAGTTCAACGGAGGACCAGTCTTCAAGATAATAAGCAACGCCAGATCCGTTCTTGGATTGGATCTTCAAAAAGTGTCTTAAACCTCTTCTTTGGTTCTTTCAGTAAAGTCACGTAGAATGAGAATAAAATAATAAATTGATAAAATAAAATAACACAATAATATTCTCACGACGTTTCGGCCACAACACAAGCGGCCTTCATCAGGTGAAGGGAGCGAGACTGTCTGGTAGGACAGCGCTGGAGTGAGAGAGCCACGTTCAGATCACGGCTTTTAAGCTGTGTGAGAGGAACAAAGAGCTTAGACGAAGGAATTAGCATAAAATTTAGCATTGAAATGGCTGAATGATTAGCTTGTGACTGGTCACAGAAATAGCTATGTTAAAAGTTAAAGCATACACATCCGCAGAGGCACCCATTGTTAAAAGGAATTAGCATAGAATTTAGCATTGAAATAGCTAAATTAAGGCATACACATCCGCAGAGGCACCCCTTGATAATGGGATTAGCATAGAATTTAGCATTGAAATGGCTGAGTGATTCGCTTGTAACTGCTACAGAAATAGTTACGTTGAAGTCAGAGCATACACATTCACCGAGGCACTTAGTACAAATCAAACAGGAGAATTTAGCATTGAAATAACTAGGCGAATTTAGCATTGAAATAACTGGGTGATTTGCTAGTGACTGGTCACAGAAATGACTACACATCTGAGCTATTCACAGTACTATATAGTGGTACGGAAATTTGAGGGTAAGAATCCACCCATTTTTTCGCCATATAGCATTGTGATATATAACGACTTATGGTTGGTAGCTTAGCTGATTGGAGAATATAGAGTTTATTGATAACATGAAGGTAATTTATATTTTAGTTTTTATTGGTTCACTATATAGTACTGTGAATAGCTCAGATGTGTAGTCATTTCTGTGACCAGTCACTAGCAAATCACCCAGTTATTTCAATGCTAAATTCGCCTAGTTATTTCAATGCTAAATTCTCCTGTTTGATTTGTACTAAGTGCCTCGGTGAATGTGTATGCTCTGACTTCAACGTAACTATTTCTGTAGCAGTTACAAGCGAATCACTCAGCCATTTCAATGCTAAATTCTTTGCTAATCCCATTATCAAGGGGTGCCTCTGCGGATGTGTATGCCTTAATTTAGCTATTTCAATGCTAAATTCTATGCTAAATCCTTTTAACAATGGGTGCCTCTGCGGATGTGTATGCTTTAACTTTTAACATAGCTATTTCTGTGACCAGTCACAAGCTAATCATTCAGCCATTTCAATGCTAAATTTTATGCTAATTCCTTCGTCAAGGCTCTTTGTTCCTCTCACACAGCTTAAAAGCCGTGATCTGAACGTGGCTCTCTCACTCCAGCGCTGTCCTACCAGACAGTCTCGCTCCCTTCACCTGATGAAGGCCGCTTGTGTTGTGGCCGAAACGTCGTGAGAATATTATTGTGTTATTTTATTAATTTATTATTTTATTCTCATTCTACGTGACTTTACCGAAAGAACCAAAGAAGATGAATCATTGCAGTCACGAAAGCTTTAAATTGTCTTAAACCTGTTTACCGATTTTTTTTTTCACGTGAGGCTTCCCCCGGTGCAACGGTTTGCGAACTTTGGTTATCGTCTTTGTCTCATCCCCCCTCCACGCCCAGCAGCTGTTCAGAATCTCCAACAGGGCAGCCCTGGCGAGTCCGGCTGAATCCACAAACACCCGCAGGTGGCGACAAGCGCGCAGTGTCAGGCCGTGCAGCAGCAGCAGCACGGTGGCAGCGTGGTCAAAGTATGGGGGGGTTGGGATGGTATTCGGTACACGTCCGGCCAGCTGGGACCTCAATGTTTTCAATGTCATTGGTTTAATACGCTGTACTCTGCACTGGGTTTTCGACATTCATTAAACTAATGCCGGGTGAACTGCCAGGTATGTATTAACAAAGACCAGTTTGCTTGTTTTAAACACAATGATTTTTTGTACAAAAATATTTAAATTCCGGAAGGCCTGATCGGATGTGTAAGACGACTGCGTAAGTTTCCGCGTTTGTGCTGTGCAGCAGCTCTCTGACGTGTTTTCGGATCGTACCGCGTGTTGTTCGAGACGATGTTTGACGTTTCGCTTCACGTGCTCGGAGCTTCTTCAGTTTTTGAAGGTGCTTAAGAAGAATTTTAAGCAGCTGCCAGCACCTGGTGCGATACGTTGTGCCCAACACTACATGGTACAGTCCACACACACACACATCATCAGAGAGCTCTTCTGGGATGTGGTTTGCCGTGATACCTGCATGCCGAAGAGTGAGGCTTTCGGCCGTGGATATATATCATTAATTGTGGGGTTGAACATTACGTGCCTTGCTTTGTAGTGACTCTTGGAGAAATACATCCGTTGAAGTGGCAGCAGTGTTTGCGTGTCGATTTTTTTTATTTCCTCCATTCACAGGACAGACGCTTACGACGAAGTCACCGGGAATGCAGTCTTGTCAGATCTCGGTAGCTAAGCAGATTTGAGCCTGGATTATGTTTGGATGGGCAACCACTACGCATGCACAGCAGGTTTTTTTTGTAGGCTGCGGCATGATATGGCAAACGAGGCTTGTTTCATTGGAATCTTATACGAAGCAAATAAAGTGAATGTACTACTTTCTAAGGATGACTATCTTTCGAGCAGCAATGAATGGCATACGAGCAACTCATAAATGGGGGATGGGGGATACTATCAGAATCAGAATATTTATTTAGACTGCAGTAGGAATGTGATTTCCAGTATGGGCGGGTCAGAAAGTTACAGCAGCAAGCAAAACCATCGTGAGTGGACTGTTGCACTGAACTGCATAGCACTCCGATGGACACGTACAGCCCCTGCTGGATGTAGGCCTCCCCACACCGTAAGGGTCATGGGGGTTATTATGACCGTCCTTCACACCGATTAGTGCGGGTTGGTGAAGGCACAGGTAGCTGAATCGAAGGAGCAAAGACATACGGTACACCAATGGGATTACATTACATTACACCAATGGATCTTGCAGCCTATAACGCCTGTTTTTTTTATGGCGGTCACCCATCCAAGCACTATCCAAGCTCAATCCTGCTTTCGTGTCGGAGATCTGACGAGCTTGGGCGCGTTCACGGGATACTGATTTTGTCGTGCGGCCTACAATGCCCATCGCCAAATCGTACCGAAAAAAAAAGCCATTCAAAAATTGTACAGCATGAGAAACAAAACACAAGGTCAAAGTTTGAGAAGATTTATTCACGAACGTGAAATGATTACGGCACTCAGCAGTTATGTAACCTCGCATGAGCCGCGCTGCTGTTGGGTTAGAATGGTCAGGAAATCAAGAGCCGCTGCTCACATTGACAATGATCCAATTTCAACTCGGCCCCAAGCCCAGTCTGTCGGCACTCATGAGAAACACAGTGCTTGCTCTGTTTCACGACAACAATAACGTGGTCTCTATACACACGCAGTGCAACAGGCCATCTCCCAGTGGAATGTCTGGCCCTGTTTGGGGGACAGTACGCGGCAGTTACACTGGCGCAATTTAAAGGGCGCCCATGTGTGCTATTTTGTAACATTAAAATTTTACTTGAAGCCCCCTGTCAATTCTCCGCGCAGTATTGGTCGTGGGGCTCTTTCGACCATACTTCCCCGCGTTGGCGAGTGCAGGCTGGTGAAGCGCGGTCCAGCGCCGGTTTAGATGTCGCTCGACACTCGATGCTCGGTGTGGCTGGAAATCTCACCGGGTTCATCGGGTTCGTAGCGCGCGGTGCACTACTAACCCACTGCGCCACCGCTCCCCTTCAGCTATTTTCATCGTCATGTTTTCACACGCGGAATAGTAAACAAAATAAATAAAATAACAAATCGTAAGAAACTACCACCACTGCGGAAACACAGTGACAGCGATAAATCCAGTGGGTGGAGAGGACATTGAGCGTGTGTACTTCACAGGACAAGAACGAACGAGCTCAATTGACAACTTGACACCTTACCCTGGGACCCCTGCCCCATATACGTTTCCGTGAGCACTCTTTGTTGTTAATTGCACAACAAATACCAACTACGAGTCCTTTTTCAGGTTGAGTTATTTTTACAGCGCATTCAGCATCCATTTCTGCACGAGGGTTCCAACCCCGCGACACACGCCGGTCATGGGGCTTGTTTGAGCGTACTTCACCACGCTGGTCGGCCCAAGTTGTTGAAGGCTCCAGGGTCGCAATGTGTAACTCGCCACTGATGTTAGCCGTCGCCGGGAATTGAACTCGGGGTCACAGGGATCATAGCGCAGTACTGTACGCTCATGATTGCATTGTTGTTCCGTTGTGATTGTAAGAATTGTAACAATAAGATGTCTTGGCAGACCCTGTTGGTGATGGTTTCTAAACTAATCTGCAGCCTGCTTGCTGGTGATGGTGGCCGATAACTGGGTGAGCTCACAGCAGCATGCTCAATCCAGGCACTTGATATATCCACGCTCACATTGGGTATGTGTTGCCGAGACACATTTTTTGAGACCCGCCAAGTGTTACATTTTTAATCCGTGGAACTGCACGGAAAGACGGAAAGTGAAATATACGGATCAGAGGACATGGGCGAGTTCGCGACTCACTCAGAAAAGTGTTGGCTGATGGCCCGAGACTCACGCCGGAGGAGCAGCCAAAGGTGTCGACACTCCAGTGAAGATGTCCAGTGCAGAGATGGTAAAAATTAAATGGGATCATGTGCAGGAGCGAGATTGTTAAATCGCAAGATCGTGAGAGATGGCGGCGGCGGCTTGGGGAGGCCTTCATCCAGCAGCGGATTGGCCATGGCCGAGAGTGAAAACGGTATCGGTTTTAGTATTGGCCACCGTGCCATTCGTAAAACTTCGTGGTCAAGACAGCTTATATGTCCAGAGCCACAACACACACACACTTGGCACGTCACCATCAAGGGGACGTATTTTTGAACCTCATCTCTGACAATCGCGTCACAGGCGCCAGTCACCCAGGTGATTGCACGTACGGTACATTGAAACGAGAGGTAAACACATCACGGGGAGGGATCGTTGCTAATGTCAACACATTAAGGCTGGGGAAGCCTATGTTAAGAATGTAATGTGTGCACATTACACGTCAAGTGAAGAATCCAAATATTAACTTTACGAATACGTTTCGTTTGTCACTACAACCTTGTCAACACGATATACTCATTTGAAAATAACACCTTACAATTGGTCATTTAATCACACAAGCACCGATATAGAACTCACAATTTTAACAAAAAGTAGTCAAGTTTGTAATTATTATTAATGAATATACAGATAAATGCAATCGTTGCCGCGAGGTTAAGTCTTTGCACAGCTGCACATTGTATTTCACGACACGTTTCAAGATTTACTCTTCTAAATTAGTGCTCATCACAACACTACGCGCACCGCGACACGGGAGAGAATTGAACCTCATGGCAGGACCCTGGGGTCCCATAAGCCCCCCTTCCCCCCGGCTCTCGCATCGACTGCGTTGCGACGTCATTGTATGTCTGTTGAAGGCGAACGACACGACGATCTATTCCTCTCGACGAGCTTTACACGACGCGCTAATCAAAATTTCAAAGTTATGTTTCTTCTGCGCATTCGTCCTCGCTGTGCTTGGACGACACGACAACAGAAGGATCAGCATATTCTTGGTTCTTTCGGTAAAGTCACGTAGAAGGGAAACAATAAAATAATAAAAATATAAAACAATAAAAACGATCCGCGCCAGGTGGGTCACGGCGTTTGTGTGCGCGGTGGGACGGAGTCACCAAAAATACAATTTATAAATTACGATTTTGACTTCCGTTTATTCGGGACCCCGGGGTCCCGCCTTAAGGTTCAAATGACCGACGGACTCCAATGAGGATTGCCGCTCAAACCCAACGCAAGTTGACAAAGTCCACTCTGAATGGATGCCAAGATTCGTTTTTAAGGACAACCGTGGCAACAAGTTTAGAATGAAAGCCTCAACGTTTCCTCTCTGTCCTGGCTCCTACTTGTCTTGCACAATCGCTCGTGACTGTCGAGAGAGCAAGGATGAATGTGCCCGGTGGGAAACGGTGAGTGTAGCGATTCGCGCACTGCGCTACGAAACCGGCTACCCGAGTTTGATTCCCGCTCACGGCCATCAACACCACTGACGATTATCTGAAGTGGTCCTGGGCCCTCCCCTGGGTCGACTCGGCCTCAAATGAGTACCTGCTGCAATGTGTAAACATCGTCACTCGGGAGACAAAGACGGCGCGGTGTGGTGAAGGCCACCCACCCCCTCGTGTCGTATCGTTCTTCATAGGTGCTCGCGAACAGCACTTGCCCCAATAGTATTGTCGGTAGACTACACGGGGGGTGGGAGAGGGGATCTTTGTGCGGTGGAACTTGCCTGTGTTCGAACACTTCGAATCAAAGGGTTGGTGGTGCAAGTGAATCACTGAACTCTGCCAGGCTGCGAGATAATACAGGCGTTGGCAGCACCGCACCCGGTCAGGGTAACCTACCGCCTGTGGTCTCGAGACAGCTGCCAAACTATATTTATCCATCACTCGCAAGCATCTTAGCGGCACCCATCGGGCACTGGGAGGGACTCCTGTCGACTTCACAGCACCACTCGCAGCAGGGACAGCAGAGACCGAGGTGCGCTCGTGTTAAAGTGCCGTTGTCCGACAGAGGTAGTTCCAAAGCCCTGTTCGGCCTTCGGGAAGGTTCCTCAGCCCCGGAATTACAGAAAACGTATTCTTGAATCAATCTCAAACCTGAGCCGGTTATCCCCCTTAGAACGCGCGGGGTTTCCAGCCTTTCATAAGAGGTTTTTTTTCAGAATGATTTGAAGCTTTCGTGACTGCAAGAATTCACACTCTTTGGTTCTTTCGGTAAAGTCACGTAGGTAGAAATATGCGAGCCCTTTGAACTTGTCCTTCCTGTTTATTAAAATAAGTTAAAAGGGCTCGCATAATGCACATGCATAATGTACGTTGCCTCAGTAATCCCCCCCTCCCAAACATTGTGCAAGAGCGCAGAAGGGTGGTCACCACATCTACGCCTCTATGTAAGGAACTAAACAGGTGGACTTCTCCACGAATGTGGCTGTCGCCTGATGAAGCTAGTTGTAATTACTGGCGAAACGTCGTACTCACATTGTAAATGTTGTGGCTTGGCTCTCCAACACACCGGCGTGCTCTACCAGTGACGAATTGGCCACGTTCTGTTTACGTGACAACCCTTACTAGTTGGCTGTGTCGGGTGGTGGCGGGTTTCACGACACATGTATATATTTACGCGATCTAACACCCCAAAAACCTCTATTATGGATGATATTGGTCGCGAAAGCCTTACTGAAAGAACCAAAGAGTATGAAAGCCTACTACGTGTTCAACTTTTCAGCCTTTACCTGGTGTCCCTCCGCTTGCGAAATTAATCGTCAGAACTGCCTTGGCCAACAGCCCAATGTCGCCTTACCCCCCTAACAGGTCTTAATACTCATTGAGGCTTTCCTGAAGTAATTAGTGTGATTATTATCACTTTGATTACTGTAAACTACTGCAAGTAAACATCTACACCTTTTGTCACGAGCGCATTTATCTGCAAGGTTTATTCATGCACGAGGGTGTTCCCCCCACCCCACACCCTCCCGTGCTGCGCAAACCCTGTGACAGATCCCTCCGGTTCGGCCGCGTTCAGAATTGTAATTCCCGAGCAAAGCCCACCGAGCCAGGCGACTTTTTTTCTTTTGTAAGGGCAACTTGGCCGGTCAGAAAACAGCGAAAGAACAATCCCAGAATTATCCTCTCAGTTCCTTATTGTATTTGGATCCTCGTCATGTCAATTCCTTTGGACATGCTAAATGCGTTGTCTCTGCTGTCGCCCCCTCGGTGTGGAACTCTCCAATCCCTTTGCACATCCGCAACATCAAAAAATGCACTCCGACTTTTAAGAAATATCTGAAGGCCTCTCTCGATCGGTCTGGGTCAGGCTTCAGAGCAGCCATGAGCTTGGCTCCGAGCTTCGAGTTGTTGACTTGTCTGCAGAATCTGGAGCGTTATAAATGTCATCATTATTTTTATTAAACATCATCGTGCTAATTTATTCTTATAACCGTTTGTAAAAGTACAGACTTAGTTTTTGACCATTTTGTCAATCCACTGCTGGATGAGGGCCTCCCTATGCAGTGTGGGTAATTTGATCCTCCGTCATCAACCGGCCGAGGTGGTGAAGGCACGAAGCATGGACCGTGGGAGCATATAACATCGTACAGTGCAATTATCCACACTCAACCCTGATTACTTTACGAGATGGGGTACACTGCAGGTTATTTGTTCGTAAATATATACTATCTCGCCATTCAGCATTTTCATGAAATAATCTACGGTAGGTGCCAAAGTGTGCAGCAGCAGCATTATCAGTTTGTAACTTGAATGTAATACAACTTCACGGAAAAAATAAACCTTTGGGGACCATTGTTACCATCGCCTGCTCAGACCTCGAGCAGTTCGGCAATAACCTCCCCGTAGCAACCTTTTTCATTGCTGTTTGACTCGCAGACCCGACGCGTCGCAGACTCTCCACGCTCAGCAGGCCGACGGACTGGGTAGCAGCGGCGGCGCATGGCAGTGGAACGTCGTAGCGCGAGCCACCGTCGTCGTCATCATCATCGACGCACCCCATGCAGCGTGTTACATTATTCCCACTGTGCAAGGCGTCGCCCGATGCTAAGCGTTGACTGTTTTTAAGGCCCGTGTGTAATTTTGTCAGCAAATTTAAAACGGAGCCAGCAGTAAAAGTGGCCATTACATTTGCAGTCGTGGATAATTCTCAGCGTGTGTTCTCCTGGACACGCGTCAAAACGAACGAACCCCCCCCCCCTCCCCAGGGAGGAGGTTTATATTCTGAGCTGAACAAAACATCAAATCAAGGCGACAAAGCGCTGGCGATTGCACCGACTGTGGGCCGACATCCGGAGCAAGGCTCGAGAGGCAGCAGCGCTTCATTTGGGACGATACATTTACACAATACTATAACAATGACACAATACAGTTGCACAATACAATTGATACGGCGTCCAAATGTGACCGCATCTCAAGACGCTGTACAGAAACGATGGGTGCCTTTTTTTGGTATATATATAGAGAGGCAGTGAGCCAAAGGCAGAGGAGAAGAGGAAAGTCTTGAGGCTGGCCTTTAACAGAAGGGAGTCGACAGCACTGATTGATGGGGGAAGGGGGTTTCAGGTTGTATGGGGAACACAGAGAATGTGCGACCTCCCATCGAGCGGTGGCCGACTGGGCCCTTTGATAGAAAACCTTGGCTGTTGGAGCAAATTAGTGCAAACAGGGGAGTAGAGTGAGATGAGAGGAGAGAGGTAGGAGAGTGCGTGGAGGGGAGTAGAGTGAGATGAGAGGGTAGAGGCAGGAGAGTGCGTGGAGGGGAGTAGAGTGAGATGAGAGGGGAGAAATAGGAGAGAGCGTGGAGGGGAGTAGAGTGAGATGAGAGGGGAGAGGCAGGAAAGTGCGTGGAGGAGAGTAGAGTGAGATGAGAGGGGAGAGATGGGAGAGTGCGTGGAGAGGAGTAGAGTGAGATGAGAGGGGAGAAATAGGAGAGAGCGTGAAGGGGAGTAGAGTGAGATGAGAGGGGAGAGATGGGAGAGTGCGTGGAGTGGAGGGGAGTAGAGTGAGATGAGAGGGGAGAGATGGGAGAGTGCGTGGAGTGGAGGGGAGTAGAGTGAGATGAGAGGGGAGAGGTAGGAGAGTGCGTGGAGGGGAGTAGAGTGAGATGAGAGGAGAGAGATGGGAGAGTGCGTGGAGGGGAGTAGAGTGAGATGAGAGGGGAGAGGTAGGATAACTACACACGCTCAAGCACGTGTCCACATGAAGGCGCAAGAAATCACAGGAAATCAAGCAAGTGCTTCGTTTCTCCCAATGGAGAAAGGTTGGACTCACACCCTGTGTGTAACTGTTACCGCAGTCCCACCACTGTTTGCGATCGGCTATTTCACCATTTGTGTAAACTGAACTCTGCTCTTGAAGACTGAGAAGTCCGAAACCTTGAAACGTTTTTCGCGACCCAGAGAAACCACATCTGCTTGGAGTTGTTTTTTTTCTTCCTCCCACTCTAGCAGCATCAACTGGATTGGTTCATGCGTGGTTCCAGGCCACAGTAACACAGTATACACGCGCACCGATCTGACACCCGTGCGACACGGGGAATCGTCACGACTGCGGTGGTCGCGTCTCGAAGGGATCGATTTTCCTCTCGTTTTTTTTACCGAAGCCTCGTCATCGTTGCTCGAGTTCACCGTGTCGTGTTCGCGTATACGCCGCTGGCGTGAGTGTAACTCGAGCGTTGGTACCAAAGTTCACATTTTGGCACAGAACCTTAAAACAAGGGGCCCTCATTTCCCAAAGTGACTGTTTTGGCACTAAACTAAAACCGTTTACGGTATTTTCCAGCACAAAGATTTTCGTTCCGATCATGATCACTGTTCATCCTCTTCACTTTGTAAAAAGAAAAAAATATATATATATAAACCTTTGCAGCAGGCCAATCGGTGACGAAGAGCATCCACCCCCTGCCGAGAGAGAGCCCCGGTCGCATTGAAGGCAATGGAGCCCGCCCTTCCACGCATTCAAGGAAAAGTCTGAACAACGGCCAACCGTCAGAAAGGTTAGCCCAAATACGCTTTGGCCTGGACCTGCCGCGTGGCACGGAGACCCTCATCGCAAGCAGTGACGCCGCTCGTGCGCACGCCGGAACGCGGAACCTCCCTCCGTCACGATTTGCTGTACCAGCCTCGCGTGAGCTTCAGCGCCCGTTCCCAGCTCTTCATGTCCGACAGCAGCTGCGGTTTGGGCGTCCTCGGCTCGAAGAGCTTCTCCGTCCAGCGAAGGGCCGTCAGCTCCGAGCGGTCGTTCCAAAAGCCTGCGCGGGCCCGACAGTCGGGTTTGGGGCGGCGTCAGGAGCTGGGCCTTTAACGCAGGGTCATGTTATAACCGGCTGTGGATTCCTGAAGTGGCCAGGGTGGCTGGGAGGTCAGCACTAAGTTTGGATTGCTGGGTTCCTCCTGGGTTAGAATCTGGGAATTGAATCACGCCAACTTCGTGATTAAAACGGGGCTCTGAGGCACAGCGAGTCGATGGTCTCATTCGGGTCACCAATGACTGCACAAAAAGACCGTTGCATAAAATGTATCACTGCACTTAATTTGGTTGAATTCCTGCTGAGAATAAAAAAAAATATATCACCTTGACCGTCATGGGTCTAACATTACCCTCGGTGGTAGAGCGGGTGGAAAAGTGCTACCTCCTACTGTGTTGACTAGAGGTCACCTGAAGGGATCTCAAGAGGTAGCTCTGTGGTGTCCACTTCCGAGGACCGTTCCCTAACGGCCCTCAGATCCTCTCACTTTTCTGCGAGAGATGCGAATGGACCGAGCGTGTGTGCGGGCGCACGAGCCAGCGCACGGGATGCGCCACTGAGCGAGTGAACTCGTAAACAAGTCGGCAACTGGGCGAGCGTCCGAATAACGTGGACGAGCGAGTGAGAGGGCGAGCGGACGAGCGAGGGAGGTGCTCACCCACGGCTAAGCCGGCGAGGAAGGCAGCACCAAGGCTGGACATGTCCGTGTGTTGGGGCCGGTCGATGGAGCAGCCCAGCAAGTCCGCCGACAGCTGCAGCACGAAGTCGTTATTGCACACGCCGCCATCTGCCCTGAGCCGGCCACACCATGCGGAGGCAACGCAGCCACCACCACTGCTATGATCGTCATCAACCACATCACCACGACCATGTTCATCATCGTCACCACTACAATCATTATTAACATCACCACCGTGATCATCATCATCATCATTACCACTGCTTCCACCACCACCACCACCGCTAATACAACGATCATCATTATAATCACCACTGCTGCAATCATCACAACCGCCGACACCAGCATCACCACCACGACCACCATGCTGGTTAACTCATTCTCATTGTGAAGCAACGGTTCGTGCACTGCCCCTTGAACCAAGCAACCCCACAGCTTACATCAGTAGCAAGCGATGAATTGAACCAATCCTGGGCCCCCTCCTTCAACTTACACGGGGTAACACAGGGAGGGAGTTTGGAAAAAGGGGGGGGGGGGGGGGGGCGTGCAGGTACCTGATCTGTTTCATGGGCAGCCTGGTCTCCTGCAGCATCGTGTTATGCAGCTGCTTGTTGCTGTGGGGACACAGAGCGACGGGCTCTAGGCGGCGTACAAAAGCTGTGCGAGCATCTGAAGCGCAGTGACTGAGCGCACGCCCAGAGCCACAGAAATCTACGGCGGCACACTGCTGTCGAGCAGCCACTGCTGCCCGTTGCTGCGGTCGCGCGCAGCCCGCGTTTGTCTCACCGGAACACCAGGGCCTCCACGACGGCGCGCACGATGTGCGCTCGGCTCGTGGACGGCTTGAGCCCCACCAAGGCTGTGCACGCGTTGGGGTCGTTGAGCGGGGCCTGCGAGGACAAAGGCCAAGTTTCCCCCACGCGGCCCACGGAGAACATTGGCGGTGGCGAGTGCGGTTGCGAGGGCTGGCGCGGCGCGCGGAGAGGCCGTGTGGCCGGAAAACCGACCCCGGCCGCCTTTGTCGCCCCAGTGCAGGCGTTTTTACGCAGCGCACCAGGGTGCTCATTTGAAGCCGAGTCGACCTGGGGGAGGCCCAGGATCGGTTCACATCGTTGCCGCTGGTGTTGGCCGCGAGCGGGAATTGAACTCGGATCGCCGGGTTCGTACCGCAGTGCGCTAACCGCACACACGCAATCACACACGCTTGTGTGCGCGTGCACAGCCAAAAGCATGCACACAACGACAACGATCCCCCGTGTAGCCTGTAACAGACTGTTGGGGCAAATGCTGTTAGCGAGCACCTATGAAGGCTGGCACGGCACACGAGGGGGTGGATGGCCAACACCACGCCCGGCCGCCTTTCTCTCCCTAGTGGCGATGTTTCCACATCGCACCAGGTACTCATTTGAGGCAGAGTCGACCTAGGGGAGGCCCGGGACCGGTTCAGATAATCGTCACTGGTGTTGGCCGTGAGCGGGGATCGAAACCGGGTCACCAGGTTCATAGCGCAGCGCGCTAACCGCTGCACCACCGCTCCCCACCAGCCAACGACGCGGCGTTGTCTTGTGCTAACCGCCGCGGCACCGCCGCTCCTCACACACACACACGGCGCACGCATGCGACGGACGCTCCGTAGTTTTCGATCTGTGCTACAGGCAGCGCCGTGCTGTTACCGGTGCGCTTGGCAGCGTTGATCTGTGGCTAAACTAAGGCAGCGCCGTGCTGTTACCGGTGCGCTTGGCAGCGTTGATCTGTGGCTAAACTAAGGCAGCGCCGTGCTGTTACCGGTGCGCTTGGCAGCGTTGATCTGTGGCTAAACTAAGGCAGCGCCGTGCTGTTACCGGTGCGCTTGGCAGCGTTGATCTGTGGCTAAACTAAGGCAGCGCCGTGCTGTTACCGGTGCACTTGGCAGCGTTGATCTGTGGCTAAACTAAGGCAGCGCCGTGCTGCTGCCGGGGCGTTTGGCAGATTGGAACCGAGCTGTGCCGACGAGTCACCCACCTTCCTCCTCTTCTGAACACGGCGGATGCAGGGAAGAAAAAGCGGGGCACAATGAATAACCTGTGACGAAACAAATAATGCCCCCCCTTCGCATATTTGTCTCTGTGGACTCGCTGTTTATGGGCAGAGATCCTTTCTGGTAGAAATTGGTCCCTAAAAGTACTCGTGTTAAATGTTTTCGTGTGTGGAGAGACAAATATGGGAAGTAGGCGTTATTTATTTTCTTACATTAAAGATGGGGGGAACACCTGACGCAGGGGAAATAGAAGCCAGGTGAGAGGCTATGTCACCACTGCAATGATCGCGAGGCCGCTAATGGAAGCGTCGATTCGTCGATTAACATTGATTCTTGTGGGTTGGGTTACAGATCAGAGCGATGAGACAGCACCGCTGGGAGCCTGGGTTTGAATCCTGGGTTCGTTTCAGGGTTTCAGTCGCCCAGTGATTACAATGTAAGCGTTGCTTTAGCAGAAAAGCAATCAGTGGCGCGCGTGACTGTCTCCTTCATCTGTCCAGATCCTGCCTCCTTCATCTGTCCAGATCCTGCCTGTTCACCCACTTGAATCCGCAACATCTCAAACGGAGGGGGCTTGACGTCCGCTGGTCCGATGGGAAGTTGCCTCGCGGCTGCCCACTCGGGAAAGAAGCTGACATCAGAATTGCTCAGATTGTGGTCTGCCCAGAGTGGTGGTGGGGTGGGTTGGGGGCAGGCACCAGTGACACATTGCCCCGGGCCTCGCACAAACGAGGGCCCCATGCCCTCCGACAGCGTGCCTGTAATCTTGTCGTGAATGAACAAGAGGGACCCACGGGGCGATCCGGTCCCCGGGGTCTCCGGGATGCGCTGGGGCGGCCCCCCCGATTTTCACAACAGGAAATATTCGCGGCAACTATTACCACCGGCGACAATTGCCGGCCAACGGTTATTCTGCGCAGTGGCGGTCGCAAAACCAGCGAGGGTGATTCGAGCGACCCGCTCCCACCGCCCGCTCACCTGGAGGCCGCTGAACGCCGGCACGAAGTAAACGCCGCCCGAGTCCGGGACGCTCTGCGCCAGCACGGCGATCTCGCTCACGTCCCGGAAGAGGCCTGGCCCGCGGCACGCGAGGAGCGCAACTGAAGATTTACGCCACTCACAAACCCCATTCTCCTACTTAACGATGTGCGATGTCACCCAACTAAGGCCCCCCCCCCCTCAGCCCCCCTACTGCTCCTCCCCCTTCCCCACCCACCGCTACCTTGTGTATGGTGGGGGGTGCGGGCCTAACCGGCCACGTGTGCGGCAATTACAGCGTTGGAGCAGTGCGCGTTAGGGCACGGTGTGGCCAGCGTGGCGAGCGTGGCGCCCCGACCGCCTTTGTCTCCCCCCCCCCGCTGACTGCCCATGTGCCGCGCCAGGGGCCCACGTCGTGCCGTGGCAGCGAAGGTGAACGTTTGTGAAAGCCGCGGCACCGCAAAAGGAATCGTCGGCAATGTGGCCGTCAAGCCGAGCGTTTGTCAAGGTGTTTAAGCGCGCATGTGCGTGCTTCCCTGGGGAGCGGTGGCGCAGTGGTTAGCGCTGCGATACGAATCGGGTCACCCCAGTTCATTTCCTGCTCACGGGCAACATCGCCACTCGTGAGACAAAGGCGGTCGGGCGTGGTGCTGGCCACCCGCCCCCTCGTGTGCCGTTCTGGCCTTCACAGGTGCTCGCTAACAGCACTTTCCCCAACAGTCTGCTAAGGCTGCACGGGGTGGGGGGAATCTTTGTCCTTGTTTGTGAGCGTGTCTCTGTCTCACCAAGCTCCTGCGCCCATTTCAAGGAGGTCCCCGTATCGGCCGCGTTCCCCTCGGCCAGGAACACGAGCTCCTCGCGGATCTTCCAGCCCACGACGGGGTACAGCCCTGGGGGAGGGGACGGCGAGGAGGAGGAGGAGAAGTCACACAGACGACGACGCAGCAGCAGCATCAACAGCATCACCGCTGGGCATTCGGCCTGTACCATATCAACCCCTACCCAGTGCCGGATTGTCCCAGCAGCACAAGTAGCTACTACACATGTCGTAGCTACTACATGTGTAGTAGCTACTACATGCCAACTAGTAAGGGTTGTCACGTAAACAGAACGTGCCAATTCGTCACTAGTACAGCACACCGGTTGTGTGTTGGAGAGCAAAGCCACAACATTTACAAAGTGAGTAGCTACTACACGTGTAGTAGCTACTACACGTGTAGTAGCTACTACACGTGTAGTAGCTACGGGCCCCGCACTTTCAAGGACCCCCGCACTAATTCCTCTCAAGATATCAATTCCGGTTCAATGATTCTGCACTTGCTCTATTACTATAGTACTATACCGCCTTCAACTTTTATGAACGACTGGGTGTTTAAGGTGAGCGATTTGTCATATTATCTGGCTGTATAGCAAATGAAAAAATACAATTACTTTACGATGCAAGTTAAAAAATTGTTTTTTTTAGGGCCCCTTTATAACAAAGGCTACAGGCCCCTCACTAGCTTAATCCGGCACTGCACTTAGCACCTCTCCCTCTACTCCGCTCCACCGCACTCTCCTCCCACTCCCATCATTCCTGTGCCTTGGTTTCTGGCCAACCCCAATCTACTGGAACGGATCGTTTTCCCTTTCGTGTTTGCAAGGCGTCGTGACATGCAATCGCACTTTGACCCCTGTATAAGTTGCTCGTGCATTACCCCTCATGCCTCATACCCCTCATGCCTCATACCCCTCATGCCTCATACCCCTCATGCCTCATACCCCTCATGCCTCATACCCCTCATGCCTCATACCCCTCATGCCTCATACCCTTCATGCCTCATACCCCTCATGCCTCATACCCCTCATGCCTCATACCCCTCATGCCTCATACCCCTCATGCCTCATACCCCTCATGCCTCATACCCCTCATGCCTCATACCCCTCATGCCTCATACCCTTCATGCCTCATACCCTTCATGCCTCATACCCCTCATGCCTCATACACTTCATGCCTCATACCCCTCATGCCTCATACCCTTCATGCCTCAAACCCCTCATGCCTCATACCCTTCATGCCTCATACCCCTCATGCCTCATACCCTTCATGCCTCATACCCCTCATGCCTCATACCCCTCATGCCTCATACCCCTCATGCCTCATACCCCTCATGCCTCATACCCCTCATGCCTCATACCCCTCATGCCTCATACCCCTCATGCCTCATACCCCTCATGCCTCATAGCCCTCATGCCTCATAGCCCTCGGCTACAGCTCCTCTATAATAGAGGTTTTTTGAGTTAGATCGCGTAGATATATAAATGTGTCGTTAAAACCCGCCACCACCCGACGCAGCCAACGAGTAAGGGTCGTCGCGTAAATAGAACGTGGCCAATTCGATAGATTCTCTAATTTAGTCAAGACTAATTAGATAGTCTATCGAAATTGAAAGAAATAAAAATAATTGTAACCGTTCGGATAGCTACCACCTTAGTGATGCGTGGAAGCGAATCATCAAATAATACATTGTATAAATGCATGCCTATAAAGAGCAGCATACTTCAATAGGGATTACCGTCGGTAGGGCTATTTGAATAAACACAATAGACAGGAAGGACAAGCTCAAAGGGCTCGCATAATGCACATGCATCATGTACGTTGACTCAGTAATCCCCCACTTTGCGCAAGAGTGCAGAAGCGTGGTCACCACATCTACGCCTCTATATAAGGAACTAAACAGGAGGACTTCTCCACAAATGTGACTGTCGCCTGATGAAGCTAGTTGTAATTACTGGCGAAACGTCGTACTCAGTTTGTAAATGTTGTGGCTTGGCTCTCCAACACACCAGTGTGCTGTACTAGTGACAAATTGGCACGTTCTGTTGACGTGACAACCCTTACTAGTTGGCTGTGCTGGGTGGTGGCGGGTTTAACGACACATTTATAAATTTACGTGATCTAACCCAAAAAAACCTCTATTATGAATGATATTGGTCGTGAAAGCCTACTACTACGTGTTATACAGCTCCTTTGCATAAACACCCCACTCCCAACTTAATGATGCGTGATGTCATCCACCTAAGCCCCTCTCCAGCACCTCCCCCCGTCCACCGCTCCCTGGTGATTGGTGGCCCCTGCCACTGCATTGCTGGGAGGGGAGGGTGAGGGAGTGGTATGGGGGGTGTGGGGGGAAAGGAGATGGGGTTGGGGGGGAAGGAGGTGGGGTGGGTGGGAAGGTGGGGTGGGAAAAGGAGGTGGAGTGGGGCAGGGGGTGGGCGTCCAGGCCTCACCGGCCACGGAGGCGTGGGGCCTCTCCCCGGTGTTGATGTTCACGAATGTGCCGGTGCCCATCGTGAGCTTCACGTCGCCCGGCTCGAAGCAGCACTCGCCAAACATGGCCGCCTGCTGGTCCGCGACCTATCCGTGCGGACGCCACCATCCCACACACGCACGCACGCACACACGCGGCACGCTGAGCAACGCGCAGGGTCGCCGCTTCAGAGGAACAAAGCAAACCGGGACGTGTCGCGGTTGCAAAGCGCAGGCCCAAAGGTCCAAAACGCCAGACGGCCAGCAACAAACGGCGCTAACTATTGAAGTTGGGAAAGATCCAAGAGTTCAAGGTTTTTCATGAGAGTGTGAATAAAGCTATGATGATGGGAAGAGGGCATTCCAGAGGGCAGCAGTGCCAGGGAAGAGGCTGAAAGAGACGTGTTGTAACCTGCAGTGTGGTGAGTGGGTGGCTGAGTGAGTGGGTGAGTGGGATGGTGGCTGAGTGAGTGGGTGAGTGAGTGAGTTAGTGGCTGAATGAGTGGGTTGGTGGCTGAGTGAGTGGGTGAGTGGGTTGGTGGCTGAGTGAGTGGGTGAGTGGGTTGGTGGCTGAGTGAGTGGGTTGGTGGCTGAGTGAGTGGCTGAGTGAGTGGGTGAGTGGGTTGGTGGCTGAATAAGTGGCCGAGTGAGTTGGTGGCTGAGTGAGTGGCCGAGTGAGTGGGTGGCTGAGTAACTGGGTGGCTGAGTGAGTGGGTCACGGAGATGGAGCGATGACATCAGCTCATGCGTAGGTGCTGCATGGGTTGTTGCATCGCAAGATCGTGAGATGGCGACGGCTTGGGGAACAGTGGATTGATCATGGCTGATCGATACTCTCTATCCCCACTTCCCATCCACTGCTACTCCCCTCGATACATTCTCCTAACCCTCCTCTCTCATCTCACTCGATGTACTCTTTGCTAGAGTAACCAAGGCTATCTGCCAAAGCCCCTAGTACGTATGATGTCTATGGACGTCTACGCGAGTCTGTGCGTCTCTGTGTAAGTCTACGAGCCACAACAATGTGAGGCCATACAGGAGTGAACCAAAGTCAGCTGCGAAAACCCAAACAGATGCGTCGGTGAAATCCAACGTGCAACGACCAAAGCCGCTCAACGGATGTGCACACGGACTGGAGAGCGCACATTCATTCAGCCGCACGCGACACGAAGGCTCAACGCCGTGTCCGGCTTGTACGATCCGAGCCGCGTAGGGGCGACCGCGCTCGCGACTCACCAGCGCCGTGACGGCGATGGGCGCTCCGAAAAGCGCCTCCTCCGTGTGCCCGTACAGCTTGCTGAAAAACGAAAGACGAAGTCAAAAAGATGCGCCGTGTGACGCACACGGATTGTTTTGGGCAAGCGCCGTCTGCGAGTAGCACCCTAAGAAGGCCAACACGGCACCCGAGGGGTGGTGTGGACAGGACCATGCCCAGTCACCTTTGTCTCCACAGGGCTGATGTTTTACACACCGCACCAGCGTTATTTTTTAAAAGTTGAGTTGACCTAGGGTACAGCACAGAACCAGTTCGGATATTCGACAAGATGTTGGCCGTAAGCGGGAAGTGAACTCGGGCGGCAGGTTTGTAGCGCAGTGCCGCTAATCATTGCGCCAACGCATACAAAGATCCCCCATATAGCCTTCTAACAGACTTGCGTAAAGTGCTGTTAGCGAGCAGCGCCTATTAAGGGTGACGCAACACACGATGGGGGGCGTGCCAAGCACCACGACTTTTGTCTCCCCAAGGCTTGTGTTACACACCGCACCAGGTACTCATTTGAGGCCGAGCCGACCTTGGGGAAGCCCAGGACTGCTTCAGATAATCGTCACTGGTGTTGGTTGTGAGCAGGACTTGAACTCGGGACAATCACTGCGTCACCGCCCCCACACCCTCTCGAAACTGAACACACACACACACACGTGTACATACACGTGTGTGTGTGTGTGTGTCAGAGTTCAAGGGTGGGTGGGAGGGCTGCGCTCGGCTCTTTATAAATTTAGCAGAGGATGTACAGAATGTTTGGACATTCTGTTTTAACATTTGGCTTGTGTCCAAATGCCAATCCCAATTGTACAGGTTGTGTCCACACGGTCGTGTGCGTATGATTATGTACGCACGCTCACCTCGTGTCTTCCACTGGCGGGAAAATGTTTCCAGGCAGAGACATAAGGCCCATGAGGAAGGTGCTCCAGGCCATCTGAGCGTGACAAGGAGGCGGACAGAAGAAACCTCTTCGTTCCACAAAGACAAAGATCCACCCCCTCCCCCCCCCCCCCCCGCGCGTATCCTGCACTGGGGGGCAAGTGTTATAAGTGAGCAACTATGAAGGCTGACAAAGTGCACGAGTAGGTGGGTGTGGCCATAGCGAGGCCCGGCCGCATTTGTCTCCCTCGTAGCAATGTTTATGCATCGCGCAAGGTACTCATTCGAGTCGACCTTGGGGAGGTCCAGGACCGGTTCAGATAATCATCACTGGTGTTAGCTGTTGGGCGGGGGGGGGGGGGGGGGTGGAAGGGTGGAATCTAACTCTGGTTGCTTGCTTTCTTCAGTTCAGTTCAATTCAATTTTGCAGTACCTTGTGAGCCAAGAAGCTCGTAAGTCGCGTTCGTAGAGCAGAGCTCTAGCCGCTAACTCACTCGGAGGCACAGCATTCACACACACGCGTGCACAGACCGTGGCTTGCTGGCTGGTCTCAATACCTGGTAAGGGTCAAAGATTCCCGTGCAGCTGGCGTTGGAGTAATCGGTGGCGTAGACTCGTCCTGGGAAATGAAGCCACCCATTGCAAACAGAGCACAGCGGGGAAAGGCAACCACTGAAGAGTGCTGACGTTGCACAAGCAAACATACCCGCAGCTTTTTTTCAAATTTTCTTGTTGTGGTTTTCGCACCTGATGGTGATTGCTTGTGTTGCGGTCGAAACGTCGTGAGAATTTTATTGTTTTATATTTTTATTATTTTATTGTTTCCCTTCTACGTGGTGACTTTACCGAAAGAGCCAAGACTACACCCACAGCTCATAATTCATTTAACCATTCGTTTAAAGCCCTTCATCAAACCACTGCTGGATAAAGGCCACGTCGGCCATGGGGGGGGGGGGTTGTTTGACCTTTCTTTATCACGCTGGCTAGTGGTGGTGGGGGTGGGAAGATTCCGTTGAGACGTCACTCGCCACTTGATTGATTCAGAGGCACGGGAAAACCACAGACAGATCAGGATACAACAATTGCCCAAGCTGCGGTCCTATTCTGGGATGTTCGGTCAACTCCATTAGTGAGTGTGCATGAATACTGGGCATTTGGCGGTGAGACTGGCTCTTGCTGGAGGATGAGAGATGCTCAGTGTGTGTGTGTGCGCGTGTGTACGCTGAACGTCTTTTCGCGCCGTACATAGCCAACCGTGCTAATCGGACGTGTGTGTACGCTTGCAGACGACCGGGCGTCGTGCTGGGCACCCACCCCCCTCGTGTGCTGTGCCGGCCTTCATCGTCGCTACTCGCTAACGGCACGTGGCCCTCCAGTCCGTGTGGTTAAAGCGTGGTGTTTAACCGTGCGTTGCCAGACTCTACCTCCTGTCAGTCGGTACAACAGCCACGTGTCGATGGTGCCGAGGCAGCAGTTGCCTTCCCGCGACGCTTCCTGCACCTGCACCAACAAGACAAAGATCCCCAGTATAACCTTGAAAGAGTGTTGGGGCAAGTGCTGTCATCGAGTAGCACCGATGAAGACTTTCAACAGACACACGCACGCACACATAACCTGAGCACCTTTCATCCTCCAGCAAGGGCAAGTCTCACCGCCACAATGCCCAGTATTCATGTACACTCACTAATCGAGTTGACCGAAAATCCCAGAATAGGACCACAGATATTGGGAAATTGTTGTATCCTGATCTGTCTGTGGTGTCCCGTGCGTCTGAATCAATCTCCCGCACTCTTGAGAGTGAACAAAAAAAACTGCTCTTTACCAATTCTAAAATATGATTACTCCGAGGTTTCGAACTAAGGTCGGTTTCGGCTCTTGATTCAGCTCAGGCCGGAGCCGCTCCGCTGCTTTCAAAGATGCATTAGAACAGCTCGGCCATGGCTTGGGAGCGTGGCTGGGAAACAAGTTCAGAGCCGGCTCAAGCTCAGCTCAGAGCCGGCTCAAGCTCAGCATGGCTTAGTGCCGGCTCACTTGAGCCAGAGCCAGAGCCAAGAGCCGCGGCTTAGAACATGAGGCCCAAGTCCCGTTGTGTCGGCGTTGACGCGATAGGGCGCAGCGTCCGAAGGCCCCCGGTGACCGCCGATATCGCCCCCCTCCTCCGGCCACCCCCCCCCCCCCCCCGCCCACCCCGGCCTCCTTGCGAGCGGCCCCCGCTCACCGCCGGGATGTTCTTCAGCACCCACATGAGGCGCATGGTGACGTGCTGAGTGCTGAAGTTGATGACGCTCGCCGCCTTCAAGCGCTTGTGCCGCGTCACCGAGTGGAGAAGCTTGAAGAGGCCGTGCATGCTCTACCGGGGGAGGGGCCGGGGGGGGGGGGCGGGGGGGGGGAGGGCGACAGTGACAGGACACCGCAGGGTGGGAATTCAGACGTCTCACGCAATTCCAAAACCTAACGGCGCCCACGTACGCACGACCGAGCGAAATGACGAGTCGCCGCTTTCACCGTGCACCATCGGCACTTCTCCGCCGCCGCCGCCGCCGCCGCTCACCTGCAGCGTGAACGAGCGGTTCCAGGACTCCACCAGCTCGGAGGCGCGCAGGTCCTGCCAGCTGATGAAGTTGTGGAACGGTTTCCCCGTCTGCCTAGCGGTAGGAGGAGGGGTGGAGTCGAGGGTTTTACCGGCAACAGATCATCCGGCCAGGTGACTCGGCAGCGGGCGGGGGGGACAGCGGCTCGCAATCGGCAGGTCCGCGAGTTGGGAAGTCGACTCTCCGGGGGAGTCGACTCGGCCCCACAATCTTAATTGTGAGAAAGTCAACAGTGGTTGTCCTCTGGATAGACATGCCCCGCCATGGGAATGAGGAATTTTCACCAGTGGCTCAGGCAGGGCTGTACACTGGGAGGAGAGCACCAACGCCTCAAAGCTCATCTGATCAAGAACTCACTCTGACCTTTATTGTTTCGTGTCAGAGTCAAGGGTTAGGGTTTAGGGTCACGGTGAGGGTTAGGGTTAAGGGTCACGCTAAGGGTTAGGGTTTAGGGTCACGGTAAGGGTTGGGGTGTTTAAGGTCATGGTGAGGGTTTAGGGTCACGGACAGGGTTGGGGTTTTTAGGGTCAAGGTGAGGGTTAATGTTTAGGGTCATGGTGAGGGTTAGGGTTTTTAGGGTCACGGTGAGGGTTAGGATTTTTAGGGTCAGTTTTAGGGTCAGAGTGAGGGCTCGTGTCAGGGGTTGCTGCTACCTGTGCCAGGTGGTGAACGTCCCCCTCTGTGTGGAGATGCCGAGGCCCAACACCTGTGCTGCCTCCACGCCAGCATCTGTGTGGATCGCACGGGGGTCAGGGGTCGGGGGTCAGGGGTCGGGGAGCACCGGCGAGAAGCGGGCTCTAGGTGCACTGTTCCATGTGCCAGGCGGATCGTAAGAGAGGGCGATGGCTTGGGGTAGCTTTCATCCGGCAGCGGATGTATCGTGGCTTACGACGACGATGATATACACACGTGGAGCGGCGGCGCAGCGGTTAGCACGCACTACGCTACGGACCCGGCTACCCGAGTTCGATTCCCGGCCGTGGATAACCATCGGCGGCGAGCGGCAGCCGAATCGGTCCTAAACCCCCCCCCCCAAACCCCAGTGCGGTGAAGTACGGTCAAGCAACCGCCACGGCGTGCGGGAGGCCTTCATCCAGCAGCGGCGGGGCTCGCAGAGTGGGGCCGTCAGCCGTCGCCTCGCGACTTCCAACGAACCTCCCAACAGGCACCGCGGCCCGGGCGGCCCCCGTACCTGCCATGGCGCGCCGCGTGACGTCCACGAACTGGCGGAAGAGCGCGTCGGGGTCCAGCTCCACGGCGTCCGGCGATGGGTACAGCAGCTTGATCTGCCCAACACGGAGCAGCACCCGCCCATCGTTACCATCCCCCCCCCCCCCTCCTCTTTCTCAAACTCCTCTGGCGCTCCGCTACCAACGCTCGAAGCGTCACTTGCGTTCCTTCTGCCTATCTGGCGTCTGCCCGTCGTGTATCTGTATGTTCGTTCGTCCGTTTATCTGTCTGACCATCCGTCTGTCTGTTCGTCCATCTGAATGTCCGTCCGTCCGTCTGTCAAACGTGTGTATCTATCTGTTCGTCCGTCTGTCAAACGTGTGTATCTGTCTGTTCGTGTATTTTTATGTCTGTCAGTTTCTACGTCCATCTTTCCATCTGTCCATCTGAGTGTGTCTGTCAGTCTGTCCGTCCATCTGTCTGTCTGCTCTCTGTAATGGGGTGGTGGCGGGGGGGAGAGTCGCGATGATCCTCACAAAGCTGACCCAATAGCGCGAACGAAACGACAAAAGTTCCGTTGTCAAAAGCTGCGTTGCTGTTCGGGATTCGCCCCACGAGAAAACTGGGCAAACAGAACAACGGGTCAGTGCCAAAAAAACACGTGGAGACGACAAACAGACCTCGGACCTGTTATCTGTCGGTGGCATTGGAAGATAACATCACAGAACTAGTTCCTGAGGTCACTTCGATAATGTTTATCCACGCCAGGAGCACATATGCCCGCCCTGCAAATGGTGTTTAATGCTCGTCAACCCAACTGACATTTGAAATGGTCAGAGCTGAAATGTATCGAAATTAAGCAACAAACCAAAGTCATTGATGTGTTATTTTTGCATGCAATCATCGGTGACTGGGTGAAGAACATTTAACTCCCTATACTCAGTACCCCGTTTAATCACAATTCAGTCCACGCAAATCTATGGATCGCTACGTAAGCCTATGAGTCTATGGCATATGATCTCATTGTGAATCTACAGGTCTCTATGTGAGTCTATTGGTCTCTATATGAGTATATGGTTCTCTTTGTGAGTCTATTGGTCTCTATATGAGTCTATGGGTCTCGATGCGAGTCACAGGAGAGCCCGGTTTAATCACAGTTTTGTTGGCTGAAAAACGCAGAATTGAACCAAGGTGCTCAGCGGCGTCGGCTCAGCCACTTTAAACTCCGAGCAACTGCGGCAGTCACCTCTACAGCCAGCTCTCCGCCGCCCAGCACAATCGCTCATCACGCCAGCACAATCGCTCGTCGCTCATCCTCGCCGACGTGCGGCCTGCGACTCCAGCTTCTGGGCGCAAGGTGCAACGTTAAGAGGCCACGTCACGCTCGCAGTCGCTCGTGACTACGCTGACGCGCGGCACCGCGGCACCGCGGAGAGCGCCCTATCGGCAACAACAGCGGGACAACGGCCATAAGTCAAATTCCACGCGGCGAGTGGCTCACGGGGTCAGAGCATCGGATTGGCACCGCTGAGATCCTGTTAACGAACCGGGTTCTCAAGCGCGGCGAGTTAGCCGTCTCAGCCCGGTAACCAATGTGTATACAAACATACAAAAACATTTCTTTCGGCTACATTCCAGCATTATGCGGTGTCACCCTACGCTGCGTGCAGTTTATAAAAAGATACCAGCTTGACCGCCGTGCGACGGACACTACTTCCGTGTAGCGTGACGGGTGGGCAGGTGACGTCCCTCGTCCCGTGCCCCTTGAGGTCACTGGAATGAAACTCGAGAGGTGGCTCTGCGCTATCCGCTTCCACGGCAAGCGCCGCACCGACGGATACAAATGTCGTCGTCGTCGCCACACGACGCCGACGGCGCAGTCGGGTTCAAGATCGTACGAGCTGGCAGCGGCAGACCGCCCTACGTAGATGCACAGAGATACATATGCAGGGACCCATAGAGATAGATTCGCATAGAGACCCATAGATGTACGTTAAAGACAAGCCACGCTTATGCGACTGTGGCCATGCAACGCAAGCTACGGGGCCCTACAGTAAACCACTGCTGTCCGCGCTCCTTTAATGGAGGAACAGTGAAACGACACGAACTCTCGAGGCCCTCTCTAGTCGTGGCCACCGGCAGACCTCGACATTGGCATCGAGCTCCTGGGCACACTGCCGCTGCCACCGTGCGCAGGAAACTAAATTTGGCCGCACAAAGGGATTGGAAGCGGGATAGCTGCGCAACGTCCGGTGGTTTCCGACGAGCGAGGCATCTGGCCGGAGGCGCCGACCACCCGGGCAGCCGCCTGGCAAATGCGAAGTTCCACCCACCTCAAAAGACGATGATTCACGTGAAACGTCCGAATTAAAAAATTGTGAATTAACGCCGCGAGCAGAGCAGGGCAGGCACGGCGGGCGGGTGGTGGGAGCAGCGAAGACCCACGGCTTCCGCACTCACCTCGCTGCTGGCGCTGCCCCTGATCCTGGCGCTCGCGTCGTAGACGTGGCAGCGCAGCGTCGTGGTGCCGACGTCGGCGCCCAGGATGAAGCGCTCGGCGCCGTCGTCGCGCCCGTTGCCCTGCGGCTTGCGCCGATCCGGGGCGTCCATCCCCAGGCACCGGCGCCGCCGCGCAAGCGGCCGATCCCCCTTCACCGGCGCGACCGCCGCAGGCGCCGTCACCTCCCGGTGCTCATCCTGGGCTGGAGATGGCAGGCGGCAACGCGCTGCGTTGTTACGCCGAGTTCACAACCGGGACGCCGTGTGTTACTCTAAGCAGTGTGTCACTCTATATGCCGTGTGTCACTCTACGTGCCGTGTGTCACTCTACGTGCCGTGTGTCACTCTAAGCAGTGTGTCACTCTACGCAGTATGTCACTCTAAGCAGTGTGTCACTCTAAGCAGTGTGTCACTCTACACGCCGTGTGTCACTCTAAGCAGTGTGTCAATCTACGCTGTGTGTTACTCTACGCCGTGTGTCACTCTAAGCAGTGTGTCACTCTAAGCAGTGTGTCACTCTAAGCAGTGTGTCACTCTAAGCAGTGTGTCACTCTACACGCCGTGTGTCACTCTATGCCGTGTGTCACTCTAAGCAGTGTGTCACTCTACGCCGTGTGTCACTCTACGTGCCGTGTGTCACTCTACGTGCCGTGTGTCATTCTACGCAGTGTGTCACTCTATATGCCGTGTGTCACTCTAAGCAGTGTGTCACTCTAAGCAGTGTGTCACTCTAAGCAGTGTGTCACTCTAAGCAGTGTGTCACTCTAAGCAGTGTGTCACTCTACGTGCCGTGTGTCACTCTAAGCAGTGTGTCACTCTAAGCAGTGTGTCACTCTAAGCAGTGTGTCACTCTAAGCAGTGTGTCACTCTACGTGCCGTGTGTCACTCTAAGCAGTGTGTCACTCTAAGCAGTGTGTCACTCTAAGCAGTGTGTCACTCTAAGCAGTGTGTCACTCTAAGCAGTGTGTCACTCTACGTGCCGTGTGTCACTCTAAGCAGTGTGTCACTCTAAGCAGTGTGTCACGCTACGTGCCGTGTGTCACTCTACGCCGTGTGTCACTCTAAGCAGTGTGTCACTCTACGCCGTGTGTTACTCTACGCCGTGTGTCACTCTAAGCAGTGTGTCACTATAAGCAGTGTGTCACTCTAAGCAGTGTGTCACTCTAAGCAGTATGTCACTCTACACGCCGTGTGTCACTCTACGCCGTGTGTCACTCTACGTGCCGTGTGTCATTCTACGCAGTGTGTCACTCTATATGCCATGTGTCACTCTACGCAGTGTGTCACTCTACACGCCGTGTGTCACTCTAAGCAGTGTGTCACTCTACGTGCCGTGTGTCACTCTAAGCAGTGTGTCACTCTAAGCAGTGTGTCACGCTACGTGCCGTGTGTCACTCTACGCCGTGTGTCACTCTACGCCGTGTGTCACTCTAAGCAGTGTGTCACTCTACGCCGTGTGTCACTATAAGCAGTGTGTCACTCTAAGCAGTGTGTCACTCTACGCAGTGTGTCACTCTACGCCGTGTGCCACTCTAAGCAGTGTGTCACTCTAAGCAGTGTGTCACTCTACACGCCTTGTGTCACTCTACACGCCTTGTGTCACTCTAAGCAGTGTGTCACTCTAAGCAGTGTGTCACTCTAAGCAGTGTGTCACTCTACGCCGTGTGTCACTCTACGTGCCGTGTGTCATTCTACGCAGTGTGTCACTCTATATGCCATGTGTCACTCTACGCAGTGTGTCACTCTACACGCCGTGTGTCACTCTACGCCGTGTGTCACTCTAAGCAGTGTGTCACCCTAAGCAGTGTGTCACTCTACGTGCCGTGTGTCACTCTACGCAGTGTGTCACTCTACGCAGTGTGTCACTCTACGCAGTGTGTCACTCTAAGCAGTGTGTCACTCTACGCAGTGTGTCACTCTACGTGCCGTGTGTCACTCTAAGCAGTGTGTCACTCTACGCCGTGTGTCACTCTAAGCAGTGTGTCACCCTAAGCAGTGTGTCACTCTACGTGCCGTGTGTCACTCTAAGCAGTGTGTCACTCTAAGCAGTGTGTCACTCTAAGCAGTGTGTCACTCTATGTGCCGTGTGTCACTCTAAGCAGTGTGTCACTCTAAGCAGTGTGTCACTCTACGTGCCGTGTGTCACTCTACGCCGTGTGTCACTCTAAGCAGTGTGTCACTCTACGCCGTGTGTTACTCTACGCCGTGTGTCACTCTAAGCAGTGTGTCACTCTAAGTAGTGTGTCACTCTAAGCAGTGTGTCACTCTACGCCGTGTGTCACTCTAAGCAGTGTGTCACTCTACGCCGTGTGTCACTCTACGTGCCGTGTGTCATTCTACGCAGTGTGTCACTCTACACGCCGTGTGTCACTCTAAGCAGTGTGTCACTCTAAGCAGTGTGTCACCCTAAGCAGTGTGTCACTCTAAGCAGTGTGTCACTCTACGCCGTGTGTCACTCTACACAGTGTGTAACTCTACGCAGTGTGTCACTCTACGCCGTGTGTCACTCTAAGCAGTGTGTCACCCTAAGCAGTGTGTCACTCTACGTGCCGTGTGTCACTCTACGCAGTGTGTCACTCTACGCAGTGTGTCACTCTACGCAGTGTGTCACTCTAAGTAGTGTGTCACTCTAAGCAGTGTGTCACTCTACGCCGTGTGTCACTCTACGCCGTGTGTCACTCTACGCCGTGTGTCACTCTAAGCAGTGTGTCACTCTAAGCAGTGTGTCACTCTACGCCGTGTGTCACTCTAAGCAGTGTGTCACTCTACGCCGTGTGTCACTCTACGTGCCGTGTGTCATTCTACGCAGTGTGTCACTCTATATGCCATGTGTCACTCTACGCAGTGTGTCACTCTACACGCCGTGTGTCACTCTAAGCAGTGTGTCACTCTAAGCAGTGTGTCACCCTAAGCAGTGTGTCACTCTAAGCAGTGTGTCACTCTAAGCAGTGTGTCACTCTACACAGTGTGTCACTCTACGCCGTGTGTCACTCTACACAGTGTGTAACTCTACGCAGTGTGTCACTCTACGCCGTGTGTCACTCTAAGCAGTGTGTCACCCTAAGCAGTGTGTCACTCTACGTGCCGTGTGTCACTCTACGCAGTGTGTCACTCTACGCAGTGTGTCACTCTAAGCAGTGTGTCACTCTACGCCGTGTGTCACTCTACGCCGTGTGTCACTCTAAGCAGTGTGTCACTCTACACAGTGTGTCACTCTACATGCCGTGTGTCACTCTACGTGCCGTGTCACTCTAAGCAGTGTGTCACTCTATGCAGTGTGTCACTCTAAGCAGTGTGTCACTCTACGCAGTGTGTCACTCTACGCCGTGTGTCACTCTACGCCGTGTGTCACTCTACGCCGTGTGTCACTCTATGCAGTGTGTCACTCTAAGCAGTGTGTCACTCTACGCAGTGTGTCACTCTACGCCGTGTGTCACTCTAAGCAGGGTGTAAATCTACGCAGTGTGTCACTCTACGCCGTGTGTCACTCTAAGCAGTGTGTCACTCTAAGCAGTGTGTCACTCTAAGCAGTGTGTCACTCTACGCCGTGTGTCACTCTACGCCGTGTGTCACTCTACGCCGTGTGTCACTCTAAGCAGTGTGTCACTCTACGCAGTGTGTCACTCTAAGCAGTGTGTCACTCTAAGCAGTGTGTCACTCTAAGCAGTGTGTCACTCTACGCCGTGTGTCACTCTACGCCGTGTGTCACTCTAAGCAGTGTGTCACTCTAAGCAGGGTGTAAATCTACGCAGTGTGTCACTCTACGCCGTGTGTCACTCTAAGCAGTGTGTCACTCTAAGCAGTGTGTCACTCTAAGCAGTGTGTCACTCTACGCCGTGTGTCACTCTACGCCGTGTGTCACTCTAAGCAGTGTGTCACTCTAAGCAGTGTGTCACTCTAAGCAGTGTGTCACTCTAAGCAGTGTGTCACTCTACGCCGTGTGTCACTCTACGCCGTGTGTCACTCTAAGCAGTGTGTCACTCTAAGCAGGGTGTAAATCTACGCAGTGTGTCACTCTAAGCAGTGTGTCACTCTAAGCAGTGTGTCACTCTACGCCGTGTGTCACTCTACGCATTGTGTCACTCTAAGCAGTGTGTAACTCTAAGCAGTGTGTCACTCTAAGCAGTGTGTCACTCTACGCCGTATGTCACTCTAAGCAGTGTGTGTCACTCTACGCCGTGTGTCACTCTAAGCAGTGTGTCACTCTAAGCAGTGTGTCACTCTAAGCAGTGTGTCACTCTACGCCGTGTGTCACTCTAAGCAGTGTGTCACTCTACGCCGTGTGTCACTCTACGCCGTGTGTCACTCTACGCATTGTGTCACTCTAAGCAGTGTGTCACTCTATGCCGTGTGTCACTCTACGCCGTGTGTCACTCTAAGCAGTGTGTCACTCTAAGCAGTGTGTCACTCTAAGCAGGGTGTAACTCTACGCAGTGTGTTACTCTAAGCAGTGTGTCACTCTAAGCAGTGTGTCACTCTACGTGCCGTGTGTCACTCTAAGCAGTGTGTCACTCTACGCCGTGTGTCACTCTAAGCAGTGTGTCACTCTACACACCGTGTGTCACTCTAAGCAGTGTGTCACTCTACGCCGTGTGTCACTCTAAGCAGGGTGTAACTCTACGCAGTGTGTCACTCTAAGCAGTGTGTCACTCTACGCCGTGTGTCACTCTAAGCAGTGTGTCATTCTAAGCAGTGTGTCACTCTACGCAGTGTGTCACTCTACGTGCCATGTGTCACTCTACGTGCCATGTGTCACTCTACGCCGTGTGTCACTCTACGCCGTGTGTCACTCTACACGCCGTGTGTCACTCTAAGCAGTGTTGTCACTCTAAGCCATGTGTCACTCTAAGCAGTGTGTCACTCTAAGTAGTGTGTCACTCTAAGCAGTGTGTCACTCTACGCCGCGTGTCACTCTATGCCGTGTGTCACTCTAAGCAGTGTGTCACTCTAAGCAGTGTGTCACTCTACGCCGTGTGTCACTCTACGCCGTGTGTCACTCTAAGCAGTGTCACTCTACACCGTGTGTTACTCTAAGCAGTGTGTCACTCTAAGCAGTGTGTCACTCTACGCCGTGTGTCACTCTACGCCGTGTGTCACTCTAAGCAGGGTGTAACTCTAAGCAGGGTGTAACTCTACGCAGTGTGTTACTCTAAGCAGTGTGTCACTCTAAGCAGTGTGTCACTCTACGTGCCGTGTGTCACTCTAAGCAGTGTGTCACTCTAAGCAGTGTGTCACTCTACACACCGTGTGTCACTCTAAGCAGTGTGTCACTCTACGCCGTGTGTCACTCTAAGCAGTGTGTCACTCTAAGCAGGGTGTAACTCTACGCAGTGTGTCACTCTAAGCAGTGTGTCACTCTAAGCAGTGTGTCACTCTAAGCAGTGTGTCACTCTAAGCAGTGTGTCACTCTACGTGCCGTGTGTCACTCTAAGCAGTGTGTCACTCTAAGCAGTGTGTCACTCTACACACCGTGTGTCACTCTAAGCAGTGTGTCACTCTACGCCGTGTGTCACTCTAAGCAGTGTGTCACTCTAAGCAGGGTGTAACTCTACGCAGTGTGTCACTCTAAGCAGTGTGTCACTCTAAGCAGTGTGTCACTCTAAGCAGTGTGTCACTCTAAGCAGTGTGTCACTCTACGCAGTGTGTCACTCTAAGCAGTGTGTCACTCTACGTGCCATGTGTCACTCTACGCCGTGTGTCACTCTACGCCGTGTGTCACTCTACACGCCGTGTGTCACTCTAAGCAGTGTTGTCACTCTAAGCCATGTGTCACTCTAAGCAGTGTGTCACTCTAAGCAGTGTCACTCTACACGGCGTGTGTCACTCTAAGCAGTGTGTCACTCTGAGCAGTGTGTCACGCTAAGCAGTGTCACTCCACACGCCGTGTGTCACTCTATGCAGTGTTGTCACTCTACGCCGTGTGTCACTCTACGCCGTGTGTCACTCTAAGCAGTGTGTCACTCTACACGCCGTGTGTCACTCTACACGCCGTGTGTCACTCTACACGCCGTGTGTCACTCTACACGCCGTGTGTCACTCTAAGCAGTGTGTCACTCAACGCCGTGTGTCACTCTAAGCAGTGTGTCACTCTAAGCAGTGTGTCACTCTACGCCGTGTGTCACTCTAAGCAGTGTGTCACTCAACGCCGTGTGTCACTCTAAGCAGTGTGTCACTCTATGCAGTGTGCCACTCTAAGCAAAGTGTGTCACTCTAAGCAAAGTGTGTCACTCTAAGCAGTGTGTCACTCTCGAGTGTAACTCGAGGTGCTGTCTTACTCTCAGTCTTGTGTGGTTCTACCACCGTGTTAGTCGATGCGTCGTGCCACTATACGTGCTGTTACTCTACGCACCGCGTCTCACTCTAAGTGTTGTGTCACTCCACGCACCGTGCCACTCAACGCGCTCTGTGAGTGTGTACGCACCACGTTCCCCCAAGCGCCGTCTCACTCTGGGCGTCCCGTCCGTCACTCTGTTCGTGCCTCGCGTCCGACGCTGCCACAGAGAAGTGAAAGAGAACAACACGGGGGGGGGAAGGTGGGGGGACAGCAGGACGAGCGGAAGAAACTTTGAGTTCGCCCTGCCTCTGGCTAAACATTAATGAGATAGTCGGGGGGGGGAAGGGGGAGTTGGTGTCCTCCGTGATGGCGAGGGTTGGGGGTTGTCACACACACGCGACTTTCACGCTTCCAGGGAACAAAGTGTGCGGAATAAATACTATTTTCATTTGGGCGACGCTGCTGCGTTGGCGGCGCCGCGCAATAAAAAAATACCCAAAATAAAGATATAACTGGCGACGTTCCAGGCGACGGCCCTCCGCATAGCACGCCAGCACGAACGTGCTTTCACGTCGCCTACGCGCGACGGTGTCTCGGCATCCGCCGGCCAGCAACGGCGGCCGTGCCCGTCGGTGGTGGGCGAGATCTGAAGCGGTCGTGGGCATGCACGTAGTGTGAAAACCGCGGCGCGTTTCGCGTCGCACGAACCGCTTTGAGAGTGCGCGCGATTACCAAGAGGTATTATTTGCTGAACGCACGCACCAGCGGCTGTCAGCGCTTCCAGAATCAGTTTTCTGTTTTTTTTCAGTTTCATTTATTTGGTAAGAGCCCTGTGAGCCATTCGGCTCTTGAATCGGGTGCAACCGCAACAAACAAAAAAAACATGAACAAGAAAACATCTTAAAGTGACTGTGCAAACAGAAAAATCCTGGAAAAAACTGGGAAGTCTTCCAGAAAAAGCACCGTACACCAACGCTGTGTGCAAAAATCCCAGTGGGATGCAAGTCAAACAACAACAACAACCACAAGACAACTTAGATTAAGGCCATCAGTCTAACTCCGTACTACAACAAACAAACATGGCCAAACCAAAAATGTTTCTGAAATCACCAAAATAAAGCCATAAGCAATAACAGTGATCATAGGAACTGTGACCAAAGTTTCACAATAAACGACATAAACAACATGTACAGTGAGGGAAAAAAGTATTTGATCTCCTGCTGATTTTGTACGTTTGCCCACTGACAAAGAAATGATCAGTCTATAATTTTAATGGTAGGTTTATTTGAACAGTGAGAGACAGAATAACAACAAGCAAATCCAGAAAAACGCATTTCAAAAATGTTATAAATTGATTTGCATTTTAATGAGGGAAATAAGTATTTGACCCCCTCTCAATCAGAAAGATTTCTGGCTCCCAGGTGTCTTTTATACAGGTAACGAGCTGAGATTAGGAGCACACTCTTAAAGGGAGTGCTCCTAATCTCAGCTTGTTACCTGTATAAAAGACACCTGTCCACAGAAGCAATCAATCAATCAGATTCCAAACTCTCCACCATGGCCAAGACCAAAGAGCTCTGCAAGGATGTCAGGGGCAAGATTGTAGACCTACACAAGGCTGGAATGGGCTACAAGACCATTGCCAAGCAGCTTGGTGAGAAGGTGACAACAGTTGGTGCGATTATTCGCAAATGGAAGAAACACAAAATAACTGTCAATCTCCCTCGGCCTGGGGCTCCATGCAAGATCTCACCTCGTGGAATTGCAATGATCATGAGAACGGTGAGGAATCAGCCCAGAACTACACGGGAGGATCGTGTCAATGATCTCAAGGCAGCTGGGACCATAGTCACCAAGAAAACAATTGGTAACACACTACGCCGTGAAGGACTGAAATCCTGCAGCGCCCGCAAGGTCCCCCTGCTCAAGAAAGGACATATACATGCCCGTCTGAAGTTTGCCAATGAACATCTGAATGATTCAGATGACAACTGGGTGAAAGTGTTGTGGTCAGATGAGACCAAAATGGAGCTCTTTGGCATCAACTCAACTCACCGTGTTTGGAGGAGGAGGAATGCTGCCTATGACCCCAAGAACACCATCCCCACCGTCAAACATGGAGGTGGAAACATTATGCTTTGGGGGTGTTTTCTACTAAGGGGACAGGACAACTTCACCGCATCAAAGGGACGATGGACGGGGCCATGTACCATCAAATCTTGGGTGAGAACCTCCTTCCCTCAGCCAGGGCATTGAAAATGGGTCGTGGGTGGGTATTCCAGCATGACAATGACCCAAAACACACGGCCAAGGCAATAAAGGAGTGGCTCAAGAAGAAGCACATTAAGGTCCTGGAGTGGCCTAGCCAGTCTCCAGACCTTAATCCCATAGAAAATCTGTGGAGGGAGCTGAAGGTTCGAGTTGCCAAACGTCAGCCTCGAAACCTTAATGACTTGGAGAAGATCTGCAAAGAGGAGTGGGACAAAATCCCTCCTGAGATGTGTGCAAACCTGGTGGCCAACTACAAGAAACGTCTGACCTCTATGATTGCCAACAAGGGTTTTGCCACCAAGTACTAAGTCATGTTTTGCAGAGGGGTCAATTACTAATTTCCCTCATTAAAATGCAAATCAATTTATAACATTTTTGACATGCGTTTTCTGGATTTTGTTGTTGTTATTCTGTCTCTCACTGTTCAAATAAACCTACCATTAAAATTATAGACTGATCATTTCTTTGTCAGTGGGCAAACGTACAAAATCAGCAGGGGATCAAATACTTGTTTCCCTCACTGTACCACCAAACCCTCACTCGGCCAACACCGCAGAGAAGCAGTGGGGCAGGCAGCGAGATGCGGGCTTTGGTCTACATGCAGCGTCGGTGGAAAGACGCCGCAGATCCACGAACCACTCTGCCCACTACAACCACCCTGCCCACTACAACCACCCTGCCCACTGCAACCACCCTGCTCACTACAACCACCCTGCCCACTACAACCACCCAGTCCACTACAACCACCCTGCCCACTACAACCACCCTGCCCACTACAACCACCCTGCCCACTACAACCACCCAGTCCACTACAACCACCCTGCCCACTACAACCACCCTGCTCACTACAACCACCCTGCCCACTACAACCACCCTGCCCACTACAACCACCCTGCCCACTACAACCACCCTGCCCACTACAACCACCCTGCCCACTACAACCACCCTGCCCACTACAACCACCCTGCCCACTACAACCACCCTGCTCACTACAACCACCCTGCCCACTACAACCACCCTGCCCACTACAACCACCCTGCCCACTACAACCACCCTGCTCACTACAACCACCCTGCCCACTACAACCACCCTGCCCACTACAACCACCCTGCCCACTACAACCACCCTGCTCACTACAACCACCCTGCCCACTACAACCACCCTGCTCACTACAACGACCCAGCCAACTACAACCACCCTGCCCACTACAACCACCCTGCCCACTACAACCACCCTGCCCACTACAACCACCCTGCCCACTACAACCACCCTGCCCACTACAACCACCCTGCTCACTACAACCACCCTGCCCACTACAACCACCCAGCCAACTACAACCACCCTGCCCACTACAACCACCCAGCCCACTACAACCACCCTGCCCACTACAACCACCCTGCCCACTACAACCACCCTGCCCACTACAACCACCCTGCCCACTACAACCACCCTGCCCACTACAACCACCCTGCCCACTACAACCACCCTGCCCACTACAACCACCCTGCTCACTACAACCACCCTGCCCACTACAACCACCCTGCCCACTACAACCACCCTGCCCACTACAAGCACCCTGCCCACTACAACCACCCTGCCCACTACAACCACCCTGCCCACTACAACCACCCTGCCCACTACAACCACCCTGCTTACTACAACCACCCTGCCCACTACAACCACCCTGCTCACTACAACCACCCTGCCCACTACAACCACCCTGCTTACTACAACCACCCTGCCCACTACAACCACCCTGCTCACTACAACCACCCTGCCCACTACAACCACCCTGCCCACTACAACCACCCTGCCCACTACAACCACCCTGCCCACTACAACCACCCTGCTCACTACAACCACCCTGCCCACTACAACCACCCTGCTCACTACAACCACCCTGCCCACTACAACCACCCAGCCAACTACAACCACCCTGCCCACTACAACCACCCTGCTTACTACAACCACCCTGCCCACTACAACCACCCTGCCCACTACAACCACCCTGCCCACTACAACCACCCTGCCCACTACAACCACCCTGCCCACTACAACCACCTTGCCAACTGTTAGCAAAATCGTACGAACAGCTGAGATGAAGTGGAAAAAAAGGAAGACAGCCGTCCCCAGCTGTTTAATCGTCACAACTGTAGGCCACGGACACTCCACTGCTGGATGAAGGCCTCCCCAAGCCACCGCCGCCGGCACCACCCATGGCCCCACGACGCGACGATCCAACACCGGCACCTGCACATGACTCGATTTCATCGCTCCGTCTCCACGGCCAACGTGACCCTCCGACACGTTCTGTTCCTTGAGCTGCACACATCAGCTCCACGATGCTTGCGTTGTTATTGTTAATCCGTCCATATCGTCTCTACCACTGTCGGGTTTTTTTTTGTTGTTGTTGAACATCGCAAGCGCTCTACAACGGCTTTGCTTACCGGCTAACTCGGTGAAAATGCCCGATGGTGAAGACTGTCAATGACACTGCCAGACCGGTTAGAGCAGTTCAGGCCACGTGTCAGAGCGACGACGCATGATGGGGCAGCGCACGTCTGCCAAGTTGTGCGCAGTATTCAAGATGACAATTGTCAGTATAGCCTGCACAGACTGTTGGGCCAAGTGCTGTTAGCGAGCAGCACCTATGACGGCCGGAACGGCACAAGGGGGGTGGGTGGCCAGCACCACGCCCGGCCGCCTTTATCTCCCCCACTAGCGATGTTTACACATCGCACAAGGTACTCATTTGAGGCCGAGTCGACCTAGGGGAGGCCCAGGACCGGTTGAGAACATCCTCACTGGTGTTGGTGGCCGTGGGATGGAATCGAACTCAGGTCACGGGGTTCACATGGATCGCAGGTTACTCGTTTGCCCGCGACCACATAGCAGTGGTTTAAACCCTCTCGCCGAACAGACTTCTGAAGAAGGCAGTCCCACCGCTCTGTAACTGTGACATCAAACTTTTTGAATGCACATTTTTTTCCCTCTCCCTTTGCTCTGAAAATCGGTACGCGATCAAAATTCTAAAAGGATTTAAATTCGGAAGCCTACCCACCGCTTCAATCGGTAGGGATGACAAGTTTGGTGATACGTATTGTAATGACTTGGGGGAGGCCTTCATCCAGCGGTGGATTGTAATGTGGTTATTGACGATGGTGTTGAGTCTTTTTGTATTTTTTTTTCTCTCATTTCTGTTTAATCGTATTATGGTCGTGCCATGTGGGTGACTCGCGGGTCCCATCGGTGGCGCTCGCAATTCCGGTCACGTCGCGTTCCACGGCTGCCGGAAAAAGTCGTGGTCCGGCCTTGTTCCAGGCGCCGCTGGCTATGACAGAAAATAAAATCGCCGGGTGAAATCTCGTTCTGCCCGGGGTGATGTGGACACGTCGCAGTCAGTCACGATGAAAGGAACCCTACGAACGAAACATCGAAGGCTGCAAAATTGTGTTCAAGATAACTAAACGACTGTTTCTATTGTATGAGATAAGGCCCCACTGAGCTGTATAAGCTCTTTTTCAGAAGTGACCTGGCCGTCAGAAGTGATAGCACAACAAAAAAGTGGCTTATTATCATCATCACGTGGAAAATTATAGCAGCAGCCAAACACCCTAGACGCATGTTTATACATGTGGAGGGGGGAAAACCGGAGGACCGGCAGTACAGCAAATGGACTAATCGCCATCTGTTGCCATCTGTACGGGGAATAAAGTGCTCCCTCAAGCGCGCACGTTTACTCCGATTTCCTCTCACTTGCATAATAAACACGCGTCATTAGTTGGCTGAAAACATCTTAAAACAACAGCACAATGCAGCAGCAGGACCCTTCTGTTAAAAAAAAACCCAGTGCTCATGGCTCAGTGTGGCTCTCCTGGCTAAGTAAATCATGATTACTGTTATTAACTCAAGGCAATTATCGAATGAAGATCGGGATCAATGGTGTGAAGAAATAGGCAAATTCGAGCCAGACGATGTGCTTATGTAACACTGAAAAGTAAAACATCAATGTTCCCGAAAAGGAAAGTGGTCAATCAGTGCATCGTCACCACTGTGAGATGACGGATCAGAAACATGGACACCCACACAAAAAAAAAACAGAACAAAGGCTGAAATAACCACAATCTAATTATTTTAAACTCTATGCCAATCCACTGCTGGATGACGACCTCCACGTCGGTCATAGGTGGCTGTTTGTCCATACTTCACCACGCTAGTTAGTTCGAATTTAGTGAAGGAAAGACTCAGGATCAGTTAGCACTCATCAATGGTGTGAGCCGCAGCCAGGAATCAAACACAGGTGGGCAGGGTTCGTGTTGCAGCACGTAAACCATTCTACTTGTTTCAGTTTTAACCAAGGGAAGGGTGGGAATTCACAGGGAGGTGAGCCACACCTGGCAACCATGTGACCCTGGAAAGTGGACTTCTCACTTTATCGGCTGTCCCTGGTCAAAATAGCCACGTGGCCGCTATGTACTTTGAAACCAAACTTCAGTGACCGAACACAGTAATAAGTGGGCCACACTATCGCAATGCTGAAACATTACCCGCAAATAACCGTACTCGAATTGGGATTACACACAGAGCAACAGCAAGACTCACTTGTCAGCGAGGCTTTCCTGGGTAAACCACCATCATAATAACTCACCACAATTTAATTTCAACCGACAGAAAATCGATCGCAACAATGCTACGGTATATGCTTACATAATTTGTATTCATATAGCATTGGGGGCTGTGTGGTAGGTAGCAGTGCAAACAACTCCACAGTTGTACTGCACTCTCTATGTTACCGGCCTTCACCAACCCACACTGATCGGCGTGACGTGTGGCCATCCACTGCTGGATGGGAGGGGCTCCCCACGCCGTGCGTGTCGTGGGGGGGGGCGGGGAAGGGGGGTTATTTGAACATACTTCACCACGCCTGTCAGTAAGGGGCGGGTTGGCCAAGGCGGAAAGGAATCACGCGGTGGGAGCATTGAAGTACTGTACAAGGACTACTTACGAACGAGTTAGGTTCCAGAGGTCTGTTCGTAAGTCGATTTGCTCGTAAGTCTAACTTTACTCCTGTCGATTCCAAACGTGTTGTGTGGCATGTACACTAAACATGGGGGATGGCTTTAAACGTTGTATAATCTCCTGTAGATGCCACTGGTTCTTCGTGTTCTGCAGATGTAGATGCCACCACCGCCATCTATTGCGCGGTGGTTGAACTTACGACTCTCGGTCCGAACAGGCCACTGGACATACGGGACAGGTTTGTTCGTATCTTTGAAAGTTCGTAAGTCGAATTTTCGTAAGTAGAGGAGTCCCTGTATTGCACACTCCAGCACTTGCCCTCTGTTGCTCACCATGCATCTCCACAGTGGTGGTCGAGCGATCAAAACCTGATGGTGAGTTACATATCGAGGAAAGCCATACACTCAGATGTAGGGTTCTTTTTATTATTACACGCTTTTTATTAAGTCACTCTGCCTGTTGTTGTATCCTCTAATCTTTGAACTTATATTTTACCCACTTCCCAATGTAGTATCGACTGCAAACGTGGTATACTTATGTCATACTGATGACAATACAATATTATATCATTAAAAAGAAAAAAATAACATTTTTAAACATTATTTTTTATATGTTATGTTTCGGCTTGGGTCGAATTGTCCATGCTCAACTTACGTTTGTTGTAAAACACCACGGCCCCTTACGTTATGGCAAGCTTCGGGGCCACTTCCTGGAGTCGTGGAGTTCTGCCATTACTCGCACGGTACATTTCATTAAAGCGTGTTTAAAAAAAAAAGTATTTTAAAATATTACTTATTTAGGAGGGTCCTGTCACACTGGGTTGTTAAGTTAAGATACGTTCACCGAATTAACGACGAGTGCTTATTATGCTGTACAAAGTGGGGAAAGTAATAAAACAAATTCTGAGCGCCCGGGGAAAATCCATGCGAGCGAGGGGGCAACACTCAATCCCCGTACAGACGGCAACAGAGGGCGATGAGTCCACTTGCTGTTACTGCCCTCTGGCGAGCCAGAGCATGGCACCTCCTCGACACCCGCCGGAGGTTTCACATCTGTGCGGTGATCCACCATCCCCTCGCTGCTTCCACAGTGCTGGATTGCGGGCCACGTGCATAGTAGCCACAACCCCCGGGTGACCCAATCTCAAAATCCTGCTTTAGCTTCCGAGATCTGACATGGGGACCCAATGACCAAAGACACGACCGCGGGCATCATAATCGCCCCACGTGTGTGGTTCAAGGAGTTGTTTTTGTATCTACGCGTGGTGAATGAATTCTGCAATTTTCCCATGTGAATATCACCGTAAAGAATGCTTTAATGTCTGACATTACCGTGACACAATTCGTTGCGTGTACACTTAGCCAGAACCTTGCTGTGCTCCCATGCCCTCCCACGAGCCCACATGTGCGTGGGGAGAGGCTCCTCATCCAGCAGTGGATTGACAAGCAGGACTTGTACGTGAACATTCACCACCATAACCACAAACCTGTCAACCCCTTATCAGTGCCCTACCTTATTACAGACCGATTCAGACCATATTGGTCACCCCGTGCCCCTTATAAATCTCAACGTTTATCCTACAAATATCATCATAAGGGGAGAAACACAAACAAATAGACAAAAACATTTAAAAAAAAATTATCGTATTGAGACGGCTGTATGCTGTACAATTTCCTTGTACAAGAATACGGGGTAAAGAAGCGTTTGGGTTGACAGCTTTGTATGCATCAGCCCATAATATCAAATCAACTAGGGTCGATGCAACTCACCAGAGAGGCGACGTCGAGCCTGGCTGTCCTCGGCAGTGTCAAACGTGGAAGGTTAACACCTCCGAACACTTGTGCACATTTTTGATGAAATCGTCACGTTAACGGGTGTTGGTGACTTGGTGGTGTCGTGAACGCAGCCCACCCGCTCAGTCACATTCACACTCTCTCACACTTACACTCTCTCACACTTACACACACTCACACTCTCTCACACTTACACACACTCACACTCTCTCACACTTACACACACCCACACTCTCTCACACTTACACAGTCACACGCACTCACACACTCTCTCACACTCACTCAACAACCGCCATTCGCCACTAAGTGGCGGTGACGTCACCACGACGCTTGTACCAGGCCATGTGCACCTTGAGGCCACGTGAAGTGTCGAACGCCCGCTGGCAGGAGGTCACGGGGCAGACCCAAGTGCCACGGGTCGACTGGCTGAGATGACTGAGATGACTGGCTGATGCACCACCTGTGCCCCCTACTGTGCCAACCTGCTGTGCTTTAGCCACCCGGCGCTCCGCTCGTTGTTGTGAGCGTCGCTCCTCCAGAGGCCGATCTTGACACCGCTGGTACCAGTCATCGGCAAGTCCACTCAGCTCCACGTCCTCCTGTACCACATCACTCCATCTCTTCTCTAGCCCGTGCCGCGCCCGTTTAGCCCCCTTGATCCGGCCGAACAAAAGCTGTTTCGGCATGCGGTGACTGGGCATGCGGGCTACATGACCCAGCCATCGCAGCCTTGCCTGCCGGAGAAGCTCACCGATGGAACCTTGCCCAGATCTTTCAAGGATTTGTGAGCTCCTCACACAATCCAGCCTGGTTAAACCCAGGATGGATCGTAGGCAGGCTAGCCTAAATGTTTCTAACCGGCGAAGAGAGCGACAGACCAGGTAGCTTCCACACAGCGTTACGCAACCGATGAAAAGATATTGTCGCTCGACTAATTCGGAGTGAGACCTCTGCTGTTAAACCGGAGCCGGTCATGAGCACACTGCCCAGGTATGGTAAACTCTCCATTCGCTCCACAACTGCCCCATCACCGATTGGGTGTTGTGGGGGTAGAGTGTCCGATGGTACAAAATACCCAGGCAGGTGCTTAGTTTTGGTGGGGCTGATGGTAAGGCCCCATCTCTTAGTGGCACGCTCCAGTCTCAACAGCAGCGTCTCCAACTCCTCCTCTGAATGAGCAGCTATTACCAAATCATCGGCATACATAACGTGGTTGAGCAATAGGGAGCCATCCCTTGACCGCACCCGGGCATCGATCAGCCTCCCATTATATCAGTACCATATGGAAATTCCCCCGGTACAGCTATTGAAGGCTTCACACACTCTCTCACATTCACACACTCTCAAACTCTCACCCGCTCTCTCACACTGACCCTCGCACACACACTTATACACGCCCACTCTCACACGCGCCCGCGACACGCTAACAACACGTGTCACACACACGCCCGCGACATGCCAACAACACGTGTCATACACACGCCAACAACACGTGCCACACACACGCCAACAACAACACGTGCCACACACACGCCAACAACAACACGTGTCACACACACGCCAACAACAACAAGTGCCACACACACACGCCAACAACACGTGCCACACGCACACACGCCAACAACAACTCTCACCCGCTCTCTCACACTCACCCTCGCACACACACTCATACACGCCCACTCTCACACGCGCCCGCGACACGCTAACAACGTGTCACACGCCCGCGACATGCCAACACGTGTCATACACACGCCAACAACAACACGTGCCACACACACGCCAACAACAACACGTACCACACACACACGCCAACAACACGTGTCACACACACGCCAACAACAACACGTGCCACACACACACGCCAACAACAACACGTGCCACACACACATGCCAACAACAACACGTGCCACACACACGCCAACAACACGTGTCACACACACGCCAACAACAACACGCGCCACACACACGCCAACAACAACACGTGCCACACACGCACGCCAACAACACGTGCCACACACACACGCCAACAACAACACGTGCCACACACACGCCAACAACACGTGCCACACACACACGCCAACAACACGTGCCACCCACACACACGCCAACAACACGTGCCACACACACGCCAACAACACATGTCACACACACGCCAACAACAACACGTGCCACACACACACGCCAACAACACGTGTCACACACACACCAACAAGAACACGTGTCACACACACACACCAAGTGTCACACACACGCCAGCAACAACACGTGCCACACACACACGCCAACAACACGTGCCACACACACGCCAACAACAACACGTGCCACACACACACGCCACAACACGTGTCACACACGCCAACAACACGTGTCACAGACACACGTGCCGGACATCTCCCCCCCGCCCCGCTCACCTCGCAGTGCATTCGCAACGCGCCCCAGGGGCGGTCGGCCCAAGGCCCTCGACTTCCCGCGTCAGATATTAGGACGAACAATTATACGCACATTTTTTAAACAATCACAGCGGTGGCTTTAACAGGTGGCGGCGGGGAGAGGGGGGGGGGATGTTACTAAACGACGTTTCGGGTAATGTCCCCTTTTTAAAATACGTAGTAACGATACATCGCAAATTCGTCTTAGAAGTCTTATCTTTGCCCCGAGGGCAGAGTTGAGTTGTGAAGCGACATTCCCACCCGCCCCGGGCCGAGTAGGCCCCGCGCGTGGTCGCCTCTCACTCTTCTCGTGCAACGCAAAGTTTACGTTTCATCTTTAAACTATGTGCGTTCTGCTTACTGTTGTCACCCTGTCGCGTTCGATTTTGTAGACGACGTTTCGGCCGGCCCTCGGGTGCAGTGTCGGGATGTGGGAATGTGGGAGGGGCGAGGCGGACCTTCGCCCCACCCCCCGTTAAGTTTCCCGCCAAAATCGTTTAAAATCTTGAGGTAAAAAATGTTTCAGCACCAGAATTGTATTTCCTGGAGTTAAAGCCCATTGAGTTAAGAGGCTCTTTAGTACATCACTCCCGTCAGTTTTAGAAACCCAAACGATAATTTGTTTTGTTTTATCGTAGAGTTCAACACAGGGGAACGAGGGGGGGCGGAATGCCAGCGAAACTCGGTGAGTCGGAGAGAGAGAGAGACACGCACTCACACTCGCTGGCGAGTTGTGTTGTGTGTCCCTGTGTTGTGTCTGTGTTGTGTGTCCCTGTGTTGTGTCTGTGTTGTGTGTGTGTTGTCTGTGTTGTGTGTGTCTGTGTGTTGTGTGTGTGTCTGTGTGTTGTGAGTCAGAGAGAGAGACGCTCACACACTCGCTGGCGAGTTGTGTTGTGTGTCCCTGTGTTGTGTGTGTCTGTGTTGTGTGTGTCTGTGTTGTGTTTGTGTTGTCTGTGTTGGTGTTATGTGTGTGTCTGTGTGTTGTGTGTGTCTGTGTTGTGTTTGTGTTGTGTGTCCCTGTGTGTGTCTGTGTGTTGTGTGTGTCTGTGTTGTGTTTGTCTTGTGTTGTGTTTGTGTTGTGTGTCCCTGTGTTGTGTCTGTGTGTTGTGTTTGTGTTGTGTGTGTCTGTGTTGTGTCTGTGTGTTGTGTGTGTGTCTGTGTGTTGTGTGTGTGTCTGTGTTGTGTGTCCCTGTGTTGTGTCTGTGTTGTGTCTGTGTTATGTGTGTGTCTGTGTTGTGTGTCCCTGTGTTGTGTGTGTGTGTTGTGTCTGTGTTATGTGTGTGTCTGTGTTGTGTCTGTGTTGTGTGTCTGTTATGTGTGTGTCTGTGTTATGTGTGTGTCTGTGTGTTGTGTCTGTGTTGTGTGTCTGTGTGTTGTGTCTCTGTTATGTGTGTGTCTGTGTTGTGTGTCTGTGTTGTGTGTGTCTGTGTTGTGTGTGTTGTCTGTGTTATGTATGTGTCTGTTGTGTGTCTGTGTTGTGTTGTGTGTGTCTGTGTTGTGTGTGTCTGTGTTGCCTGTGAGGGTTTTTTAAGTCGACTCAGCCTCAAATGAGTGCCTGGTGCTGTTTGTGGTAAAGATCTCCACTGGGGAGACAAAGGCGGCCGGGCGTGGTGCTGGCCACCCACCCCTCGGTCCTTAACTCGGCGCCTACTCGCGAACAGCATTTGACCTAAGTTACGTTATTATTATGATTATTACATACCCTTATCAGTGCTTTTCTTATTCTTGGTTCTTTCGGTAAAGTAACGTCGAAGGGAATTTTATTGTTTTATATTTTTATTATTTTATTGTTTCCCTTCTACGTGGTGACTTTACCGAAAGAACCAAGAATGTGAATCCCTGCAGTCACGAAAGCTTTAAATCAGTGCTTTTCTTATTACAGACCAATGCATACCTTATTGGTCACCCCGTGCCCCTTATAAATCTCAATGTTTATCCGACAAAGTTACAAGAGAGAAACACAAACAAATAGACACTCTTTTTGCCCGTATTGAAACGTCAATTTCCCTGTACAAGAATACGAGGTGAAGCGTGTGGGTTGACAGCTTTGTTATTATCCTGGTAGGAACGAAGTTGTAAACTGAGTGTACCAGCCTGCAATAGATTAATGTGTCCGTCCGTCCCCTTTCAATACTTTAACGAAGTGAAATCTCGTGCTGTTGGGTGTAAAATCAGCAATAGACAGCGCAGAGACTTGAAAAATTCCAATGTTCCTACCAGCCCACCCTGCAGGGACCTGTTAAGGGGGGATCTATTTGTCTTTGTTATCATTTTGGGGAGAGGTTGCGAAGTGGTTCGTGCTGCATACTGCATCATCGTGTCCACTATTTTGATTAAATGTTCACTGCTGTATGAACGGCTGTCCTTTTTAAGTTGGCGCTGCGATGTGTGTATTCCTTTACAAATAGTTTTTCTAGAATCTTGATTAATTTTTTATCTTACCCTCCTTTTTAGCCCCCTCAATCCCCCCCCCCCGGGATCATCCTTGAAAAAATATATGTTTAGGTCATTGGGCCCATCCAGGGTAAAAAAATTTAAAAACTAATTGTGAGCACAACATTTCATAGTTTGGTTTCCGGGGCCGGCACGGCACGGCACGTCGCCAGTGGAAAACCAAGCACGAATTACATTTTGAGGTTCACTTCACAGATCGTACAAAACGGTATTGATGCGCGGTATTTAAGTACATTTTTACATTAATTTATTCATGTAGTCGATATCGCCGTGATGTAAAAAACGTTCTTGTTTATACTTATCAATCAATATTATGGCTCGTGTCCGATTTTATTATCGGCGCGATTGAGTGCGTCGATTCGGTGCAAATCGATCCATTATGTGACAATGCCCCCCCTTCATTTGATTGGCTAATATCAACGAGATTGGTGATTCCGTCGCTGTCCGCTTTTGTTGAACCACAGCACCCGGTTTAACACGCAGCAGGTTTTTGCAACCAATATAATCCATAATATAGTTTTTTTTGGGTTAGATCGTGTAAATATAAATGTGTCGTTAAACCCGCCACCACCGGACACAGCCAACTAGTAAGGTTTGTCACGTAAACAGAACGTGACCAATTCGTTGCTAGTACAGCACACCGGTGTGTTGGAGAGCCAAGCCACAACATCTACAATCTGTGTACGACGTTTCGCCAGTAATTACAACTAGCTTCATCGGGGCGACAGCCACATTTGTGGAGAAATTCCTCCCGCTTCCTTCCTTAGAGGGGTAAATGTGATGATGTCACGTGTGAGCCCTTAACGTGCGAAGGGGGGCTGAGGGGGGGGGATTAATGAATGCATATAAATAACAAGTGGCTATCCATTGCCGGTTGGGTTCCTGACGGCGCCCTGTTGCGGCACTGCGTTGTAGGGAAGCGGGGAGGCCTCAGCGGCCCCTTTGCCGCACCGTCTCAGGACGGCGGTTGTGGCGTGTGGATCGACACGGCCGAGCGCAGGAGGAAGAGGCCGCCGCCGCCGCCGCCGCTTGCCCCACGTGCCGGCGAGCCGGTGCCGCGACCCGGGGCCCGGCAAACGCGGATCTCGGCTTTCTTCATCACCAGGAGCGGAGTGGGGGCCGGAGAACCGGGTTAGTTTTCTGGTTAACCGCGGTTGGCTCGGTGCGGTGTCGGGCATGGTACCTCGGAGAACTTTGTTGCCACCTGCTCAAGGTGGCATGGTGCTAATGTTGCTGCACCAATCATTTGAAGTAAAACAAAATGCACAATACATATTACCAAGAATTGGACATACTGATACAGCATCCCCGATGCATACCTGGAATCGCTCCTAACTCTGCATGGTGTCATCGCCCTAATCCCATTCTGCTTTTCTATACTAAATCATGCGTCAATGTTACAGGGGAGTGAGCCAAATATAAAATATATCGAGAAAATGAATGAGAAATAATTCAAATGAGAGGGTAAAAACACGACAGTTGAGCAAAGATGTGTTTTTTTTAATCAAGACCCTGAATCGAGATGAGTAATCGAATTGCTAGGTGTGATTGAATTGTTACTCACCTAGTCGTCATGTTTCCTACACAGTCTTTTCATTTTGTCATCCTGTAGAAAGCTGCCACGAGGATGGAGATGGCGCCTTGCGAGCACCGAGCTGTTCGTCTGCCGGACGATGGAATGACGGGAACAATGCCGGTGGCGCGTCGGACAAAAGTGGCGGCGTGCGGGAGTTCGGCAGCCGTCCTTACTCCTCTTTCGCTAACGATCGCTCTCGGCGGCCATTATCCGATGATGGCGACGGTGATCACGCCTGTCCTGTAGCGGAGTCTCGCTCAGAGTTTGCAAATGCGAGCAACCCCGCTGCTGTTCCAGTGAGAACGGAAACGCACCGGCAAGAAGGCAACGCCACCGGTGATGTAAACGGCTCATCCGGTTTGTGCCACAGTCGGCCCGGCAGCTTTGACGCCAGTGATGTCGACACGGACGATAGCAACGGCTTCTCTCCGCTGAAAGCGAGATCTGTGTCGCATCCACACTTGTCATCTGAGAATTTCCAAAAACAGCGCAAGGTCGTTTCCCGTCCGTTTGGCCCATGTATGGCGCCGGACCGCCCGGACGTCACCACCACCGATGCCTTTAGCGACTCGGAGAACGCGTGTAGCGACTCGGAGAACGCGTTTAGCGACTCGGAGAACGGTGTGTCGGATCGGACGGAGCCCGCGAGGGACGCGTTGTGGGAAGACTCGGAAGGCGGCTCGGCTGCGCTGTTCACGCAGGACACGCAGGGCGCTCGCGTCATCGCGCACCGGAGGGCCCGAGGCGGCCACGGGTCTGCGCAAACGTTCCGCTCGCGGGGCCGGGCGCGTGGGCGCGTCCTGGAAGTCCTGGACGAAAACGTCACGTCCGATTGCGATGTGGAGGAGAGTGAGATGACGTCAAGTTGGCGGTCGAAGGACAAGAGGCGGAGAATCGCCGATCCGGAATCGCAGTCTCAGTCTGAGGCTCTGTTCACGACGGATTCGCAGGGCAACAGAGTCATACATCATGGCTGTTTTGTGGAATAGTAAGCGTGTGATGACCTGTGCAATGAGCGATTAAAATCGACGCATGTAGATTACACATGCGTTGAAGAATTTGCGTAGGAATTGATTGCGATTCATGAAAACTTACGACCTTTGACCAAATTACCCAGAATGTGCCCAATCTCATCGGATCATGAAAACTAAGCAGGTTTGACCTTGGATACTGCTTGAATGAGGGAACACCATGCATAAAAATAATTGCTATGGGCTGCTGGAGTTGGCTAAAAATCCAAATATAAGACCACAGATCTTGGGCAATTATCTGTCTGCCTTCCCACTTTTCTGGTTTCGCGCGACACTGCGCGTTACACATTCTTCAACTTTGCGTGTTACAAATTCTACACCTTCAACCTGCACTTCTAACCAGCATGGTGAAGTATAGCTAGATGACCCACCACCCGCAGAGTGAGAGAAGACCCTCGTACAGCAGTGGACGAACAAAAATGGCCTTACCTATATACATTGAGCCTTTCGTGAAATTACATACGCAATCTTCATTGTTTACTGTTAATTGCAATTTTAATGCTGCAATGTTAATGCTGTTTATGACATTGAAAGTGATCTGTCAAGTGAATAAATATTTTTGCTGCGTTTTCTCACATCGGGCGGGGCCCTTTTAAGTTGGTGCTCACTGTGCGATTGCGAACTCGGCTGGGTGGTGGTGGTGACGGCGGTTATGCACGTGGCTGCCTGTAATCCACCACTTGTTTGGGCAGCGAGGGTTGGGTGGATCGCACAAATGTTGTGAAACTCCTTTCCTGTGGGCGTCATGGAGGAGCCCGTACCCTGGCTCGCCCAGAGATTGTGGTACCCCTAAAATGTGGACACAACTGCCTGTATGAAATCAAGTGTTTCCCCGTTTCACAGTGGGTTTTCTCCGCGTTTCCTCCAACATGTAAACAGTAATTGGCTGATAACCCCTTACTATATAGAGGGCCACAGAGCTTGGGCAGTTGTCAGCACCTGCTCGCCCCGTGGCTGCCTTCTCGCATGTCTGGTTCCACGTGACTCTGAGACCTCTCTCCAAGATTGTGCACTTCACAAGTTAACATAATTTTCAAGCAGTCTACCGGCAATGTGTTCCAGCTCATGCGAAATGGGCATGCTTATCGACTGATCCCTCTTTTTTTTCATGCCTAAAGCTGCCGCTAGCTCTATCCCTGAGCTACTTACTGCTCACCAGCACTGTTTCACTATTTTTTTGGGATAAATCGTCTTTAAATTTATTTGGGCTTTGTTCGTCAAGTTAATTTGTTTAATTGGAGAATTCAAGAGACCGGGATAGTCTCAATTGTAAGATTAAACAAATCATTTGTTGATGTTGCATTGGCAGTGGTGCAAAATCACAATTGCCTATGCATGGCCTGACCCATTAGTCAAATCAGTTATGAATATTAATTCAAATTGGAGCGGGATTGAAAAAGTAAATATTACTCCGGCTAGTCGCTAGGGGGCGCTGTGCAACCGTGGATAATGGTGCCTCATGTTTTTAAAATCGCCACAATACTGCTGCGACATAGCTTCCAATACAAGGTCCACGATAATCATAAGTTTCGCCAACACATCGTAACATCGCGATAATCGTGGCTACATTTGTGTTAATTTTAGTCCCTGGCAATATGAAATAACAAAGCTCAATCATTTAATCAAAACAATTACATCTGCTTTTGAAGATGTCACGATTATCTCGATATCAGTTTCAAATTACTTTCTAATTGCTTTTCAAAAGTTTTAATACATCAGTGCATTGCGAAACATTTTTCTGGAGTACGATATTAACATGGCTATTAAATCACCTCAATTTATTTTAACTGATTCATAATTTTGAGTGGTAACTGACTACATGTGTGTTCTAAGCATTATAGGTTGTAAAGTTATACGTTTTAAAGTTATACTGGATCGCGCTACACGAGGTCTCCGTGTGCAGCAATGCACAATAAACAAAACCTCTAAAATGCAGCTACAAAGTTATTTGAAACTCAGATCACGATAATAGAGATATCTGAAAAGTGAAAATGTATGTCGCGGCAACCCAAATGTGGTTGAGGTCGATTAACCCTGTTTATGTTTTGAGATCTCCATGTGAGTCTATATCGTATCTCAAGACTATGGACCACATAGTACGCTGTATCATTTAGGATATCACCAGGCTGGCGAGTGAGCGAGTGGATGGATTCAGGATTTTCTGTCTATATCTCAAAGTCTCAAACCATGGAGCACATAGTTACACCATTGACCACTTCGATCATTCGCCTACGGATCGCTGCATGAATGTGTTTAGTCTCTCCGCAAGTCTTTGGGTCGCTTGGAAAGTCTGTTGGTCTCTGTGTGAGTCTCAATCTCAAACCATGGAGCACATCGTAACACCACTGCTTGCTTTCATCATTTGCCTATGGGTCACAACATGAGTCGTTGAATCTCTACGGCAGTCTGTGGGTCTAAATAATCGACAATGCGCCTCTATGTGGGTTTAATTCTCGAATTCTAGATTTGAAGCTTTCGTGACTGCAAGGATCCATACTCTTTGGTTCTATTCGGTAAAGTCACGTAGGTAAAAAATAAAACAACAACAAAAATCACGACCTTTCGGCCACAACACAAGCGGCCTTCATCAGGTGAAGCGACCAGACTGGATTACAGTAACAACCACTGGTGCTTCGATCACTTCAGGTATTCACACCCAAGGCTACCCTTGATGATGGCTCTCACCATCCTCGACATGATATCACCATCGCCGATCATCTGCCCACCAGGTCAAAGAAGAATACCATGATGTTTGAGGATCTACTTTGCCACGTGAATTCATATTCACTTCTCTTTCCGTGTAAATATTGGTGAAGTTATTTAAACACGTAGGCTTTCGCAACCAATATCTATAATACAGCTTTTTGGGGTTAGAGCGCGTAAATATATAAATGTGTGGTTAATACTCTTTGGTTTAATTCGGTAAAGTCACGTAGGTAAAAAATTTAAAATAAAATAAACAATTAAAACACGACGTTGCGGAGGCAGCACAAGCTTCAGTCTGTGTTGCCTCCGAAACGTCGTGTTTTAATTGTTTATTTTATTTAAATTTGTTTTTACCTACGTGACTTTACCGAATAAAACCAAAGAGTATGAATTCTTGCAGTCACGAAAGCTTCAAATCTAGAATATTGTGGTTAAACCCACGACCACTCGACACAGCCAATTAGTAAGGTTTGTCACGTGTACAGAACATGCCCATTCGTTACGAATACAGCACATCGGTGCGTTGGAGAGCTCTCCAACACACATTTACAATCTGAGTACTCAGATATTTACACGGAAAGGGAAGGACTCGGATTGAGTACTCACATTTCCAATCTGAGTACTTTTGAGTATTCAGATTGTAAATGTTGTGGCTTGGCTCTCCAACACCGGTGTGCTGTACAAAGTAACAAATTGGCATGTTATGTTTACGTGACAAACCTTATTAACTGGCTGTGTCGGGTGGTGACGGGTTTAACCACGCATTTTTATATTTACACGATCTAACCCAAAAAAAAATTGAGTACGATTTTGATTTGAAGCTTTCTTGACTGCAGGAATCCATATTCTTTGGTTCTTTCGGTAAAGTCACGTAGGTAGAAATAAAATATAACAAATCACGACGTTTCGATCGCAACACAAGCAATTCTCATCAGGTGGAACAACCACAGCAAAAAAAAATGCTGAAATAGGCGAGAGAGCTGCCGTTATAGAGGTTATATAGGTAAGAAAGGGGGGAGAGGGGGGGGGTAGGGGAAGGGGGGGGCTTCTTGAGCGCTAGGGGAGAAGAAGTGAGAGGGGGGGGGGGTGGTGAGTAAGCGGGGCTAGAAGTGGGAAGCTGGGGACACGGGGGGGAGAAGTAACTCGGAAAAAAGACGACTACCAGGCAGGTATGATGGAAATTGAGAACAGTAGCGTGCAGGTAGATTTTCAGTATTTGTATGTTTTGCCAATAGTATAATATATGTACGGTATTTTCAGCTATGGGAGGAAACTAGAGAACCCGGAAGAAACCCAGGCAGAGCAGAGGGAGAACGTGAATTCCACACAAGCACTCAATGTTAGGAATCGAACCCAGGCGCATTCTTGCCATGAATGTAAGCGTTGCAACCCGTGTCACCCTACTGTATTGGCTCAAATGTTGTAAATCCAACTGTTTCTCAACTACGTGGCCGGGTCAACTGAGGCCCTTTGCCCAAAAGGATTTTGTAAATTTGGATTTTCACAGCACGATCAGTGACTCCCGTTGCCCGAGTATTCAACGTGGCAGAGAAAACTCATACGAGCACATTGACTGATGAATGACAGATGTATTTATGTGCGTACGCTATTGGTGCAGAGCGGTGGAATTCGAGACACATTACCACGAGCCGTACATTGTAGTCAAAATAGTCCCGGGGCATGTGGACACAAGAGTGGACCACACGGTCAAACAACCCCCCCCCCCCCCACCACGGAGATCCATTTATAGATACCCCACTGACTTCGAAAGGTCGGATTAACATTCTTCTCGACAATCTGGTTAAATATCGTGGAAAGTGATGGCCCCACGCCTTACAGCGGCAGAGAAAGGTGGTACCAGGGATGGAGACTCGTGAATCTGGCCCTTGCCCACACACACACACACAACTATTGCAAGAAAACCCCACGATACAAAGAGTAGTTTCAGTGTTATTTGCAAGTGTGTCCTGGCTCACCATGAAGACAAAAACCATGAGACCGTTGACGTAGAGCGGTGAAGCAAACAAAACAAATAGCAATAGGTGCAAAAACAACCACATTGCTGAAGAAAATAAAAATATTGGATAAACACAAATCATTATTAAAATTAAATAAATTTCCTGTCGCGGAAATTGGCTTGGACAAGTTATTTATACAAACCGTAATGAATTGTATTTCGTAAACGTTAAAATAATGACCTCAGCTTTATGCATCGATGTCGGACAAAGCTAAGCGGTGTTAAAAGGTGCAATAAGTGCATTGAGATTGGCGATGTTGATGATGCGTAATTCCAACTGAATAATTTCCAGGCAAAATTTTGAGCATTGGGATGCTTTGCCCAAAACTGCGCGCGCGCGTGTGTGTTTCAGCTGTGGGAGGAAACAGGAGAACGCGCAGGGAACCCATGCGGAACAAAGGGAGACATACAAACGTCACACAGAAAGGCACCGGGAGTCGGGAATCAAACCTAGGCCCCTCTTGCTGTGAGATGCAAGCGTTGCCACTGCACTGCCACCCAGCCACTCGGATGCAATAAGTGCATTGCGATCGGTGGGTGACGTTTATAGAATTTGAACTCAGTTTGTTTCTATGATCTCTCTCGTTTTAGTGTGGTATCTATAAACGGATCGCCGTGTGTGTATTATTCCTATATATAGACTGATTGCCATCTTGGTGAGAGATTTGTATTGGCTTGGTGTGGGCAAAAAAAAAGCACGTGTCACTTTCCCTTTGGAGAGGTCAAGCTAGGACAAAAAAAACTCTGGCCACAAGATGGAAATCAGGATTGCGTTTTTTTTTAAAGCCCATTTATCCAGGAAGAAGACTGACCGCGGAGCCTTACGCTTCAATATGTCAGTGCGTTACAATGTC